TTGATAACTATTAACCAGGACGATGCTCGCCAGTGTGTGGAATAAAAGTACTAAGTTGCTATGAGCATTTCAAAATGGTGAATTCTCAAAGGTCGCTGAATTTTTCATCTAAATTTAATTGCTGCTCTTGTACAAAGGGTGCAAACGGCCGGCACGTTAACCAATCATTACGCAAATCTACACGATGTTTCATCGCTGGCAGACGACAAGAAACAAATTCTATTGATATCATTCTACGAACAGTACGGTGAACCGAGGACAACCCTATGGTCCCAAACCTTCACTCCACTGACTTTGCTTAGGGGAGCTGCTAGGGTGCATGTTGCCCTGCATGTACCCGGAAAAAACAATTCTTACTATTACGATTTTGAACAGCAGGGCAATATCAATTAATTTGTAGACTAGCCTTTCTGGCAGTTTTAGTTTGAAATAATAAATTTTTGACCTTGGTGGGCAGGCTAATCTTAACAAACAGAAAGGGAGTGTAAAGCAAAATGATACTTGATAAGGATGTTCAGCTGACACATGAGCAATACCACTAAAATTGGGATAACCAATCCAGAGTTCTATTTTGTTCTGAAGTTTTTCATACAATTCCAACAGCAAATTTGGTGTTTCGAGATAGAATACAAGTAGGATTCCAGGATTTTTTCAAGGTGCTCTTGTTAATTACTGAAGAGCATTTTTTTAAGGAGGACGTGTATGGTCTATGTTGATCAAGTAATAACTGAAAGTTACCTATTTTATCTCATGATTATCGCATTAATTACCATTGTAACTTACCATGATTGTCAAACGCGGGTTACTCACATGATCTTGATGGTAATGACATTATGAACATTTCCAAAATATACGTCAAATCAACGCGGTTAATATAAAGTACATGATAGCTCAGACTTGATTCGTATATTCTATGACAACATTGTTAAGGAAAAATATAAGCACATCGATTTAACCTAAAATTAGGAATTAAAAGAGATAGTATAAAAAAATCTTAGGAGAAAATTCATGTGGTAAGTAGGTTGAAATACGTAATTATTCACCTGATTTAGAATAGAGCATAACATAAAATAATTCTCACCTGCAGTTGTCACTTACTTCACCCATTTAGCTGTCAACAATCTGATCATTTGTGATATAAGCATCTGAGTACAGATACGATCCATGCTTTCACGTAAATGAAATAGAGTAAGACAACCGGCCAACTACGTGTTTTGGTCAAGCGTCAGTCTATCAGAGGCCAACTATTATTTTACTATTGGCTGACTACCAACCCAATATTGAAAGACTAATTAGTAATAAAGGAAAAAAAAGGAATAGTTTTTTTCTTTAGCAGGGCCTCGACTGTACACTACCGCTCAGAATTCCATTGCAAACCTCTCCCCCCCTTCACCTGCACAACAAATGCGTCACTATTTAGATAATGGTTGGTCAAAAATCTGACGACATTCAAGCAAAAGGCGACCCAAAGCCAGTAAGGTTGATGACCACCTACTGACTGATTTCTTACTGTTTGTCAAAACCTTCACTGAGATAACCAACCAACTACGTGTTTTGGTCAAACGTCAGTCTATCAGAGGCGAGCTATTATTTTACTATTGGCTGACTACCAACCGAGTATTGAAAGACTAATTAATAATAGATAAAGAAGTGATAAACTGAAACAAGGGAAAAATTTGGGTCGTTTTCTTTGTCACCATTCTTTGGAAAACCGTTGGGTAAAATTCCCGCACAGCCCCATACCGTGAATGTGAAAACAAAGTCGTAATCCCAAAGGCAATCTCTTTTTTTTTTTTTTTCACCATGGTTTTTTTCTTTTTTTTATTATTATTATTTTATCCAAGAACTGCTGTGGGGAAATAGTTCTAACCCTTTCCCAAGTAAACCTTGATCTCCAAAGTGCAACGGTTGAGGGTTCAACGTCCTCTTAACTGTCAATTTTTTCAATAATAGGATACCCCTTGTCTTAAACTCAGCTTTGCAAAATATTTTGACTGTATGAAATCTCCAAATAACGACTTTCTTTCTTACGAAACAAAATCTTGACAACTTCGATCGCCATTTTCGACATTTATCAACGTCTCCTCGGTGTCTTTTGTTCCCTAGTGATTTCGCTTGTCCACGCTATGAAAATGGATTTTTTTTTTTCTATCTGAACCTTCCCATAAACTTACCTAATGACCTCGGTAACTTTCGTCGATTCTATAAGGGTGAACCTGTCTATTAGACAATAAATTTTTAGAGTTTTCCATTAGATTTTCCCCAGAGTTCGATGGATTCAAATGTAATGAGCTACCATAATATAGTCTACATATGATGCACGATCCTGGCAGTAGAGAGCGCTATTTATGCAATAGCGAAAATCAGACCTGAAAAAAATCAGGCCTGTACGGGATTCGAACCACTGACCTCTGCGATACTAGCGCAGCGCTCTACCAATTGAGCTAACAAGCCAACTGGGAGCAGGTCGTTGTATCTGATTTATCTTCACGGGTTTATTACGAATCAACTTAACGGCCTGCTCCCAGTTGGCTTGTTAGCTCAATTGGTAGAGCGCTGCACTAGTATCGCAGAGGTCAGTGGTTCGAATCCCGTACAGGCCTGATTTTTTTCAGGTCTGATTTTCGCTATTGCATAAWTAGCGCTCTCTTCTGCGAGGATCGTGCATCATATGTATCTACAACCGCAGTTCAAAATATATGAACTTCATAAATTCGTTGTATAATATAGTCTGGAAACGAGTTTGTGGCAGTCGCGTTTAGATTCTGGCGCGAAACCCTTCAACCAATATACCCTATGCAGAACGAAAAGAGACTGGGAGCGTTTAACTTGAAAAACATATTTTGTAACGTTTTGTTAGTTTCACAAGGGTATGTATATTAGGCTGCATAAATTTAATACTTCTGAAGTATTTTAAGCGTGCTTGTAAGGTGTCTCAAGGGGCTAGTACACTATTTAAGGTTCGTTAAGTTATGCAAGAGCCATTCGAGGCATCTCTTTCAACCCTAGTTTTTTTATCTTATTTACTGTTGTAATTTTCTCTGAGTTTGTAAAACTGTAATGCTGTTTTTGTAACGCTTTACGCTCGCTGCATCAATAAACGAGATGTCCGCTCCTATTCTGTGTTTTGTGATTTTTTAGATTAGTTACAAAATACTTTATAATCGTTTCAGTGTGATCAGAATAAACGAGGCTAGTTGGGCCAAGTAAATAAAAATGGCTGCCTGATGTGAAGAGCGCCAGTTACGAACAATATAAAATATTTTTCTTCTTATTCAAATTCTCAGTCTACACTCTCCTTCAGACTAGTTTATTTTCAGCCTAATCGCTGTATCTTTTACAGGACTTCTCGTTCTCCACCTATTCGAAAGGAATTCCGCTTCAATGCTTTGAACTTGAAGGGTCGGAGAGGGATTGGAGCCCACAGATCAATCGGTCAGCATTAGATTCCATCCACCAAAACCACCTCGATCGAGAGGGACTGAGGTGGAATACCTAACAACTTGCAAATCATAACCGAAGATTCTCGGAAATCCGCGCGGAGACATGGCCGAACACCCGAAGAACAAACAGAAACAATATGGCGGTAATTTTAAAGCGTGAACAATTTGCCTGATGGTAGAGATGCGGATAATTTTGGATACGTAAATTCTGTTGATGAGGCGTATAAATTCATTGCGGAATTCGAAACAGGATCGACGAAGAAGTTTTCTTGCTTTAAGGCTGACAAAGGTTTCGGAAAAACTGGTATGCCCATATATATTTGAAAGCGTTACGTCGTGCTAGCTTGTAACACTCTCGTCCTTGCTCTACTGATCCTATCATCCATCACAATTTAACAACAGATCACTCGAACAGAAGTCACAAAATACTCTGGGAAGATCCAGCAGACACTAAAGGTACAAAAAATTCTCTTTAATGGTGTGCCTTTCATAATTTTGGGAAGGAAAGTGTTCGATTGTCAGCAACTTGAACTTTGAACTTTATTTTTATTTAGACACGGTAAATCTATCAGATAAAATAATAATATTATTACAATCTATTATGACAGTTACAATCTATTTTAATCTATATAAACTGTATAATTAATCATCCATGTGAAATAGGTTACTTGAAATCAATGTGAAAGATTTGTAAGATATTCAGACCCCTGATAACAATTACTGATGTGCTGATTTGTAGTATTTAAAGGTAATGATTTTAGAGGAAGTAGAGGAAGAAACTTCTGGATATGGAATTTTGTTGCAAACATCTGTTAAATCAGTTAAAAACTCTCTCTTATCATATTTCAAGAGTACATGATTGCCACACCAAAACCTTTTGTATTCTACATTGAACACCATGTGATGATTATGGTTTCAATAATAAAAGCTGCTGACTTAAGAACTTTGCAAAAATATCAATGTACAAAGAAATAAATTGTGGTTATTTACTCCAGTAGCAGGTTAAACCATTCCTCTCTAATGGAAGTAACAGAAATTGTCATGATGGTGGTTTTGGTGGATGGAGAGAGAAACATCCACCAAAACCACTTTAATCTAATTTCATGTCTTATGATTTCATTATGAACGTTTGGTCAGCAATTCTGCATTATAAGAAATAATTAGCCAGAACGTAAACTGCTAATGTTTTGGGGAATATGATTCTTTTGCTTCCTTGAAGGTCTAACATTGGCCATAGATAAAATTCAAAAAGTACTGTTGTTGGTTTTGATCACTATTTTGGTAGATGTCCACGCCCGACATCCACCAAAACTACCAAATACCTTGGCACCTTTCAAATATCGGAAATATCTGCCTAAAATTGCGCGAAAAGTTTTAAAATACTACCATCAAACAATAAATTAGTACTTACCATTTCTCGGGTGTAAAGTTTTGACGCAATTTTCCAAACAAATATTCCACTCAAGTCATCGGGATGAATCGGCATGTTTTCGTAGCTTCATAACTATTTGTAAGTATAATACGTCATGAGGTGTCCATCATTTCATCTCAGTCCCTCTCGACTGAGGTGGTTTTGGTGGATGGAATCTAATGCTGACCAGATCAATCTCGCCGGTTGCCACTTAACACGCACCTGATATTGTATTCCTTCGAGGTTTTGTCTTACGTCTTTTTTAATCAGTCAAATTGCCGGCTCATGAAGTGATAAACACGTCTTTCTTAAATGTATCTCGGAGTTTACAGGCATTTGTAGCTTCCGGTACAACCAGTTTCAAACGTCTGTCGGCAAGAGACCGACCGAAAACAAAGGTCGTAACTACGGAAGTTTCTGATCGTGGATCGTTCCTCCACGAGTTGCGTCACGGTACAAAGGGAATACTTTCGCATCTCCGAGGCCGTTAACATTAGTATGAGTACAGCTGAGAAGGATCGCGTGATAAATGAACTTCCCAAGGTAAGTAGGATGGTAAATTGTTAGTCGAAGGTATGCATGATCAAGTTCAAACTTATTTGAAATAATATTATTCCTTCCCAGTGCATAGGCATAACAATAATTATATTAGCTCCTATTGTGGAAACTTATGGTTGTCAGGAAGGTTAGTGCTGCTTTTAAAAGTGCTGGTTGCTCTGCAGTGTATCGAAGCTCTGAACAAAGTTTCAATACCAAATAATCAGAAATGGGTGAGATGGTCGGCTGCATTGGTGATAGAGCAATCGTGTTATAGGACTATGTTTCCCTTGAAACTTTTAATCTACGAACATGTGACTTTTTCATTTCCGCTTGAATGTGGCAGCGCCCAGATTCCATCATACTTGGTTAGATGAATTGCCAGTACTGCATAGCAACAGTACACTAGACAGTGTCATTATTATTTATGGAGCTGTCAGTCCCAAGATGGAAGAAGTCCATAGCCAAGGGCTGGGAAAACCCATATTTTATGCTACAATTCTGCAGGGTTACATCTTTTACCCACCTAAATTCATTTTTCAATCCAGTTAACCTGTGTCTTATAATTAAGTGCTGGCTTTGGTGATGTGTCAGTCAAGAGTATTAGTCCCCATTTGATGTTTGATATAGGATAGCCATGAAGCATAGTCAATTTTTCATTAAGCTGCACAATCATGAAACAATTTGTGTACATTAACATTTTTTAAAAAGATAGTAAGTCAGATGATTTACAAGGATTCCTGGTCTTAAAAAAATGCTTAACCCCCCATACATGTAAAATGACAATTGCATAATTTTTTTAATATGATTGATATCACCAAGCAGATACTGACATGCCAGTTGCGTTTTGCACCACACTTAACAAATGGTAAATACCACAGCATACACTACTGAGTTATGGATGCACACGGGAGGTTGCTAAGCACAAAGGAAGCGTAAGAGTCGCTCGAGGCGATAGACGAGATCGACTCTAGCTTCTTGAGTGCTTAGCAAACCTCCCAAGTGCATCCATAACTCAATAGTGTACGCTGTGGTGTTTACCATTTGTTTTATAACATAACATTGATACATTGTAGCTAAAGAGTTCCCTTTTGTTTAACAAATCTTACGCGACCAGAAAAAACAAGCACGTGCGGAAAAATAGTCTTTACATTTGCTCATGTGAGCAGCGTATAACCATGGGCAAATGGGGGACGCTAAATTGACCAATCAGAGCGCACACTTTACTTTGGTTATGTTATAATGTCAGGTTGATGGATGAATGGCTGGAGTTGCTGGTAGATATGGGCTTCCTCTTCTCTTTTTAATCTTAATATGTCACTTGTTTGCTGTCATTGCTCACGCTACCTTGAGATATCAAATTGAAAACTTGAAGAGAAAGTCCTTATCTATGCATGCCCATCTATTATTCTCTATGTCTCAATTTTTTCAAAAACTAAAGATCTATCTATGTATCTAAGGGAGGCATTGTCAGGATTGTTATGCAGACATCTTCATAAACTGTAATCTGACACTTACAACTCTGACAAAATCAGTTTATTTTTGTTGCTTTTCTCGTGCAGACCCCAAAAGCCATTTCCAACTTGCTGAGGAAATACTTGAAATTAGATCTACCTTAAAAAAAATTTGTAGAACACCTCCCACTGCTAGCTATCAATTTTTTTAATATGAAGGTGGATCATTAGAGTATTTCTCCGTATTTCTCAAATTAAAAGAGTAAAATAAGGTCCAAGCAAAGATTTTAGTTGACAACAATCAGCTCAATTTGATTTATATGTATCTTTACTTCTTGATTGAGTTATTTTTTTCTGTTTTGTTTTGGTTATTGATAGTTTTATACAGCTGATGCAGCTCCAAGACAGGCTCCCAACTTTCACCCTAAAACCAAGGATGCATGTTCCACGGGAAACACTGGCAACATGTAGTAAGTATTGATAGATGTATGATAAAAAAATATGCTTCAGCAAAATAACCTGCTAACTGATTTTGAAGCACAAATACATCATGTACATGTATAAATCCAGTAAAAGTCTGCTGATCATCACTAACAACTGCATGGCTTGACACTAACTTTTTCAACTTACTTGCCAAGTGGCTAGTGACAACTTAAATTTTACAACAATTTCAGTTTGTGTACCAGTCAAACTGGCTTGTGGAAACCGAGAACCACTAGCCAAAACGGAATTCCTACTAGTTTTGAGCCCTGCACTGCTTGCAGTTAATTACCATCAGTATACATTTTGTACTTTAGCATCCTTCCATCTACAAAAGTGATAAATAAGTAAATGGATTGATGCACAAAAGGAAACACAAGAAAAAATATAGAATGCAATGAGGTTGTCCTTTGTTAGGCTATTTTTTTAGGGTCACAAAATTCTGTAAATAAAATAGGTGATTTACAGGTAATATCCCACTTCTTTGAATTTTTTTTTCTTTTTATGACACTAGTTTGTTTTTTAAAGGGCTTGTTTTTTATTGTGTGGTCTTGTTCTATTGTAGTTGTTGATAGCAACTCACTCCTAAGACCATATTTCAAGGCTTTATTCACATTGCCAAGAAAGTGACCTGCTAGTTATTGCAAATAGATCATTCATATTTTGGGTGAGAATCCTCTGACCACTGACTACTGTTTATAATCTATGTACAGCTACATGAACACCTGTAGGAATTAAGTGTACCGCTACTCTCATGTTTAGGGGAACAACTATGGACCAACTAAGGGTATACTAACAAACAAAATTTGATACCTTTAAAATGATATAGCTTCTTGTGGTTATTGTTATAGTTATTTTGTGGTTAACTGTGCTTGTTGCCTCTGAAAGAGAAAGGATGTAGTTATTAATTAATGTTAGCTTGCACTGCTGTACAACCATGATTGGAAATTAAATTTTCTGCTTAAGAGCCAATTGGCAACTGGAAAAGAACCTTTTTTGTAAAACTAATACTAGCATTGGACTTCAAATTGAATTAGGAAAGAACCAATTATTCATTTTTTAATCAGCTTAAAGATAGCCAAATGTATAGTCGTTGGTGACAGCGCTGTTGGGAAAACATGTCTAGTTAACAGGTGTGTTAGATATTTGAGTTCTTGTCACATGTATGGTTCATGCATACTGGGGTGATGTCTGTACTCAAGCTAAGTGGCCCACCCAGCTGGTACTTATCCCAGTGTTCATAGCATGAAGTGACTAGGATCATTACTAATCCTCTCATGGAAGGAATGCTAATCACCCAAGGTTACCCGGCCTCCCCCAGCATTTCATCAGGCTTCTGTGACAATTTGCCGGTGCTCATTTATATTCCTGGGTGGGGAGGGGCACCATAATAGTGAAGTGTTTTGCCCAAGAACACAACACACTGACCAAGTCAGATCTTTAACGTAAACTCCCTGAGCTGGAGTCCAGTGCTCAAAACATGTGGCCAATCATTCTTTCACAAGTGAAGATTACTAGATATTTTATGAACGCACTTAAACTCCCCGCCATCAGTGACTAAGACAGAATTTCCCCTTGCAATATCAATACAATATCAAGAAGACAAGTGAGGGAATGAAGAAAAATATCACTTAGGGGATTAGTTGATCCAATACCAAATATCACTTAGGGGATTAGTTGATCCAATACCAAATTCTCTAAACCAGCATCATAGGAATTGTATGGCAGACAGTGAGAAGAATTATCAACAGAAACAAATGAAATTTTTTACATGGACATCTAAAGCTACAGTACTGAATTTGTTATTTCATTACAGATACTGTCGTAACCTATTTGACAGAGATTACAAAGCCACCATTGGTGTTGACTTTGAAGTTGAGCGATTTATGATTCTTGATCAAGAGTTCAACATGCAAATGTAGGAGGAATGCTTAATATAAAATCAATTTTATTGAAAGCAAAAAATTAATGCTGATCAACTCAGACTTGTGTTTGATCTGATCTCTCAATTGAAATAAAACTGCATATCATTTCTGGTGTCTAGAAAACTGCAGTTCACCAAAAGAAAGAAATTCAAATACATCATCAAGATGAGAATTGTGACATGTGTAATGTCCGCTCTTCCTTATCATTCCCTATTTGTTTTCTGGCATGTAGCAGACTGACTTCTAATGATTTATGTCAAATTATCTTACTTAAAACACCACAGTTAAATAAGAACATTATAATTACATTTTATTTCATGTGAATTGATAAGTTACTCTTTAATGATGTGTAGTTGGGATACAGCTGGTCAAGAGAGATTTAAATGCATGGCTCAATCCTACTACAGGGGAACACACGGTAAGTTTCTAACCCTTTAACTTCTGAGATCTGTCTCTTAATTAGCATTCTCCTCTAGCTGCCACGCATTTCCCTGTAAATTAGTCGTAAGAATTTGTTCTTAGATCTAGAAAACAATGTCTAGCTGACAAGCTTGAGTTTTCTCATTACCTGTTTGCTGGATAATGTATGGATATTATTGGGAGAAGTTTCATGTTAAACACTTCTGGGAGTAATACATGGTTAATGCATGCATTACCTCCTGAGTAAAGTAAAAAAGTAAAGTCTGTTTACGAGCCTAGTGGCCAATTAGGCCGGTGCTTAACTCCGGTTTCTGTAGCATGAAGCGACTAGGAGTATTTCTACTTCCCCTGGATGGGATGCCAGTCCATCGTAGGGTTACCCCCAGCATTAAATTGCCGGTACCCATTTATACACCTGGGTGAAGAGAGGCACTGTGAGAGTAAAGTGTCTTGCCTAAGAACACAACAAATTGTCCCGGCCGGGGCACGAACCCGGACCATTTGATCCGGAGTCAAGCACACTAACCATAAGGCCACCATGCCTCCACACCTCCTACCTGGAGCATATCTGAATTATTTTGTAAACCCAACTTGAATTAATGTGAGCAAAATTATATCTGTTCTCTATATCAAAAACAGTTGTAACTTTTAACTTTTCATTTTTCATGCATTTTAGTTAACTCCATGTTTGTCTCTTTTTTTTTTTTTCTGTTTACTGTACACACTGTCGGCTGGTGGTTTCAATCATTATGATCTTTGTCTTTTTTTTTTCTGTAGTGATCATCTTAGTATTTGACCTCACAAGTATCAAGACTCTTAACAATACAAAGTGAGCTTGCTTTTTTGCATTATTGTTTAATTATCATTGATTGCCTTTATCACGGGAATTTTTTATGATAGCAGTGTAAACTTACATAAAACTATGCTAAACGATAGCTATTGGGCACAGTAGGGTGCTGTTGCATAACCTAAAGGCCAATGGGAAATAAGAAAATTAAAATAAAAAACCAACTGTGGAAACCAATACATTGAAATGTCTTCTCAGTAGAGCTAGAAAAAGAGCCTTTCAAATCTACTTATTTTTATTATTAACATTATAATTGTTAATATTATTCTAATCATAATTATAACCCTTTTGACCACTAAGAGTGTCTAGCATCTAATTTTTCCTTGCAATATCACCCCTCTGGATCACACATTAAGATCATGAGAGTAAAGGAAATCATCACTAAAATAAACAAACTCAACAAATTCTCCTTGTCAGCACCTAAGGAAATGTATAGAGAACAGTATGGAGAACATGCATACTGATGTTAAGGATGTTAAGAGTTAAAACCAGTTGTATAAAGTAATAAAATTAAAAGTAAAGTAACTGAAAGTGTTTCATTCAGTGAGAAATCACTCATGATAGCCACTTGAAGATAAATTAAATATTTATTTTAGAACAATCAATGATATTGAAGTATACATAGCAATTTTGCAAACCTTGAAATATGCTTGTTCGTGGTTTTCATTTATGTTGAACGACCTGATCGCAAGGGTTCCTGTGACCCTGTTAGATAAAAATGCTCTGTTCTTTTTTGCCCAAAATAGGCAATGGCTGGAGGAAGCTCTAGAACAAAACACAACAACTTGTCCAGAAATTTTCCTTGTAGGATCCAAGAAGGACCTCTGTGTAAGTGAAGTTTTTGTTGTTGGCTTTGATCATGTTGTCGTTTTTATTTGCTTCCTGTCGACAGCTTGAAATGGGATTAAATGTACTTACACGTTTGAAACTACCCTTTTTATCTCTTTCGAAAGAAGAGGCATTTCGAAAAACCGAAAGCACACATGAGTGGCAGTTTCCAAAATCTACTGTCGACCCGGAATACATTATACTTATGCTTGTAAATTACCTTATTGATTATCATTGTGAAGATGTTTAAAGATGCCTCAATTTCCACAGCCAATCAAATTTAAAACTAATATTTGGACTTAACAACATTATCAACCATCGCTAACGATCGGTTTCATGTTGTCAATCTCAAAACTTACACCTTGAGGAAAAATTTCTCTAAAATGTTTCACTGATTGAAAGAAAGATGTAGATTTATGTAAATTTGAACTATACGGTTTAAAGGGAAAAAAAACACCGTCAGGGAGGAGTATCGTAAAGTGGTTTTGATGAATTGTCTTCTCGTGCAGAAAGGCAATGACTTTTCACAAATGGAGATGCATGCTCTGAAAGTAGCAGAAGAAATTAACGCGGAATACTGGAGTGTATCATCTAAATCAGGTAAAGTTTCACATTTAAGTCTAGTTGTGAGTATTCATGCAAAGTAACCATTTCACTGAAAACCTCTCTCGCTTGCTTAGCAAGGTAGTTCAGTCTCTTGAGGGAAAAATAACAGGACACCAATTTATGCATAGGGAAACATCTGTACCTGTCAGCTTGATGTACCTCATTCCCGCTGATTTCCGTCTCCTAACATATTATTTAAGAGGTAGAAAGAAATTTTTGTTCGATTAGTTTTCCGTCGTCTCAAGAGGTAGTTTTCGTACCGAACTAAATAAGGAACTGACTCAGTTGGGCTTGCCTATGACGTTAGCGAATAAAGCATAGGTAACAGTGTAAATGGTGAGCTGCCGGCTGTCATCCCCGACATCATCAGAACTCATAACAGAAATGAAACCCAACAGTAAGTTGACCATCGCGTTTCGTTTGTACACAGGAGAAAATGTCAAAGGCCTTTTCCGTCGAATAGCAGCGGTAACGTTCGAGCAAGCAATTCTATGTGAACTAGAAACTCATGGAAAAAGGATCAGTGTGCAACAGATGGGAAGTGGGGGTGGCCTGAGTAAGTATTTGTAAGATTTTTTTCTTTTTCCTAGTTCGTAACTTCAAGTTCACACATACATTTATCAACTCGCGCAAATATGTCATGTTAAGTAAATTAGCATAAACAGCATGTACTTCATTTGTATCACCCCTTCTGAGGATTGTAATAAATCATAACAAACTGCTACGAAATTATTTGTCATAGATGGTAAAGTTACGTTTAATGTTTTACAAACAGAGCTGCTTTCTCAAAAGAGTTGTTAGTGGCATCAAAATGGCTGTAGCAGATCATCAATTTATGTGTCCATAAATTTCTGACTAAAATCGTCTTCTGCAGGCCTAAAATAATCCCCACACTATTCTCCTTATATTAGCTATGTTACTGACAAGAGGAATATGTTTGACCATGAGGAGCTTTTTAAATTGGTGATCATTGCCTATATTCTCAATACCTTCATATTTGGTTCAAGGGTGATACAGTAAGGGGAATTTAGAGGCCGATCACTCTTGAGGATATACAAGATTAAGGGTTTACATGACAAGGTGAATTAGGCAGGCATTTTGACTGGCTCCCACTTATGATCTGTTCCAGGAGAGGCGCATAGATTACAGCTGTACGTCACCATTAACAAACTTTTGCTTTACAAGGATATGAAACAAATCGATTCCATGTTCCCATGGGTCTGTACAGTAATAGATCACAGAAGATATCAAGATGTGTTAAGAACTTCAGTTACATTTTTTTGTTTTCATCACATTTTGTTGTCATCTGTGATCTACTACTGAACAGACGCGTGGAATCTTTTTTTTTTTCCCATTAGATATATGAAAACCATAAGAAACACACACACACACACACACACACACACACACACACACACACTCATGTTAAACAGAGGGGCAACGCTTTGAGTAACAAGGAAATATTGCAAGCGTTATTAGCCTTTGTTGAGAAGAATATTTTTTAATCTGTTGTTGCATATCCGTCATCGGCTGGCTCAAGTGAATTCCCAAAGTAGAATTCTCTATCTCCTATGAGGATGCAAATGTTCTACTTCAAATTTAATTTCAGGGGTGGAAAAGAAGAAAAAAGAAGATGAAGAAAAAGACAGACGACAAAAACCAAAGTGTTGCTCCGGGGCTCGTGGTCTTTAGGAATTCAAAGCTTGCGCGACAGATTTACGCAGCCGTTCTGTGAATTAAAAGAACTGTGCACTCCCGTGCTTATTCTTCGTCCTCGACGATTGGACAATTGATATGGTTGGCATGAATATGGAATTTGTAATATGCAGTTGTACATGTACGGTTCCTCCTTTTCGCTTCTTTCAAATACGTTTTGCTTTTTCCATACCAACTGAATCAAAAGTGTAAATTCGAAAGCTATTTTTATTTCAAAGAATTCTAGTACTGATATCAGAAATTCAACCAATGAGTGCGAAACATGAGAATAATTATGTACACTTGTTTATTTGTTTATTTTTGTTGTTGTTGTTGTTTCTTCGTTCTCTGATTCTAAGCGGGAGGCTGGGGAAAAGTATTTCACAACTGTTGTGTCTGTTTTAACGTTCTCACCTCAAACCAGCTCCTGTAAAAGTCTTTTCTCAGGAGTGCTCAATTTTTTACCGTCTCGAATCGGTACATGGCTTCGAAATGTTGTCTTCGTTTTAAAAAGCAACCATTGCTAGCGATGTGCTCTCGCAAGCAACAAACGTTACAAGGCAGGTTGTTGTTGGGGTACATAATAAGGCACTATCCAAGATCACAGCGGCCGTGTTCCATTCTCACATTATCTTCTTAAGCTCTTGCTCTTCGAGGTCTTTGCCATTCTTTTCAGGAATACTGTAAATGACTCTCCGCCCCTCCAAGGGCTCTCTCGTTTTCCGAGCCCCCCGCTATAAAGTCGTCATTTCCATGACTTTGGCTGTCCACGGAGCCTCTTTTTCGAATCGAGACTAATTACAAAGTCTTTTACAAAAATTGTGCGTTATTCACATCTTTACATATTCGCACAGAAAATGAAACGATATTTTACAATTGTTTTGTGATATTGTCACAAAAATTAAGAACTGTCAGGATTGATATTACACGGCTTATTTAAGATGACTTAAGTGTTCATCTACTGTCTTGAGATCTTTTCTTTCCGTTCTTGAAAAGTAAACCGCATTTCATCACTGATCTAGGAACCAAATAATACTGCTTGCAAGCGAGGCGCTCGCATAAAAATGGCAAAGAATGTTACAATTCCAGAGATTATGGAAACCCACAGCAAAGCTCGGTCCAGGACCCTGGCGGCCATGATCCACTCCCACTTACGTAAATTGAGTTCGTTTTCGTTGAGTTCTTCGCCATTTTCATCAAGTACTCCTGTAAATGACAAGCTAGTCTCATCCCAAGCTTCGTAAGGTTCAGGGCTGTAGGTATCTTGGCCGTCTGTAAATACATTTAAGTGGGGGCTCTTACCCGAGTTTGCGTATCGTAAGCCACCGTGGTCAAGATTTTTGGAAATCATGAACATGCGTTTGAGCTCAGCAACAAGGTGGTCATCCTTTCGCTCGAATTGATCGGGTAATGATCCGTGCATCATTTGCTCATGAACAACCGCTCCATTTTCCTTGGCTTCTTCATGGTCCTTGTGTTCCATCTCCGGTTTTCGACGTCGGGTGGATGTTTTGAACTTTGGTTTGGGACAACTTTTTTCCACTGTTTTTTTTAGCAGGACCACACGCGCCGTCCACTGCAGAAACAAAATCCGCATCCAGCGCGGCATTTTCTTATTTTTGCGCGCTGTGAAATTAAGAATCACCGTTGTCGCTAAGAGTGAAATACTTATTTCTACGCTGGTTGCAAAATAGTACTGGCCAAGGAGCGGGAAATAAAATGAAGGGAAAATGTTCGCAGTTAGCTGTTGGAAGACCGTCATCGCCAGAAGAACGGTTATGCTCAATCCAATCCTTTCTCCGCATTCTGGAGGAAGAATAAAACCTAGAAATATCATTGACGAAATAAGAAAACACGGAATGATTAAGTTCACACAGAAAACGAAGAACACGCGGCCTATCACGATTGTAACTGTAACGTCGTCAAAGGTTCCTATGCTGTATCGTACAACGTTCCTTTTCGCCTCTATTTTGAGGATATCCCATTCGCCATTGTCCACGTACTGATCTGATTTTCCACTCATTTGTTCCGGGCTCATAGTTAACTGCTGACTGTTAGAAGCCCAAGAACCGAACTTAAGCGAACACGTTTGTATGTCGAAAGGGAAATAGGTTACATCTATGGCACACAGAGTTTTGAAAATGGCAGGACTTTTCCAATCGTTTTGTCCGTTTGCTTGGACGACAACGTTGGTTTTATATGTTGTTGGTCCACCACCAATACGATCTTGGAGGTCAACGCTAGAAAAAGTAAATTGTAATTCAAAGATAAGTCATCGTTTTTGAAAAGATCGTATGGACCACCCACGTGTCTAAAGGGGTGCGTTAATGGGACTTCTTTCCCATAAGGGTGGAACATTCCGAGTGAGAAACACGTTCGATACATTTATCACCGACGAAAGCTTACGGATTTTCGACCCTTGTTGAGAGCGACGTCTGGCTTAATGATTTCTGTAACCTTTTCAGTCAGTTCTGGTCCCAGTTTTTCTAAGGTTGTATCAGGATATCCACTGGATAAAATCTCTGTCCGGTGGATATCGTGGTATGTTTTGCTATCACTTGTCCGCTGGATAGCATTATCCGTCTTTATACTATTGGGATCTAATGTTTTCGGTTTTCCGAGGGACAAAACTCTTCTCGTTTCTTTGCTTTTTACAGAGGTTGGGAATGAGGGCATTGACCGATTAACAACCGACAGAAATCTATCGCGTTGTTTAGCCAAGGCGTTACTTGCATAGAGGACCGGACGTACTATTAAGCCAGACTTGCTAATTATTTGACTCGGGAATAGTTTCTAGTTTCGCATGATCGTTATACATGATCTGTTTGGTACTAGTTCAATTACTCCTTTCTTACTTGTTATACATTAGTATATCTGGTACCCAGATCTTCTCGGCGCTTGCTTGAAGGTTTTCAATGCCACCATACTCGGAACAATTCCACTGAAGAAACGGATTGTGCCATACCTGAGTGGTAAGAGCCAAAATCTCATATTTATATAAGTCATCTCTGTGCATTCAAAAGACAGCAGTAGTTATGAATGAGTGTGTTCAAAAAGATGAAGAGGAAAAATTCACCTGTCGCACCCAACCATACACTGTCATAGTCTGATCCTTGGCGTTCTGAAATAAAAAAAAAAAAAAAAGTCTTTTTATAGGATTACACAATTACTGGTGAACCAGTAGTTTCCATTGTGGTCCTTGCAAACAAATGAAACAAATGGTCTAAATTGAACATAACATCATTAAGAACATCATTAAGAACCCCAACTGGCCGGAGGCAAACCAGTTGGCTATTTACAAGGGTGGCCAAGGATCTGAACTCGGGGCTACCGTGAAACAAATCCAGTGGTTAGGGTGGGACTCGAACCCGGGAGCGGCGGATTACGAGTCCGACACTCTAACCACTCGGCCACACTGCCTCCATGAGGGGCCATGAGAGTTTCTTAGTAAGGATGTAATAAATTAAAAAGGTGTGTTATCATATCTTTCCATGGCCCGTACGGGATTTGAACCCATGACCTCTGCGATACCGGTGCAGTGCTCTGCCAACTAAGCTAACAAGCCAACTGGGAGTTGTTCATTATGTTTTTTCAGGCCTTATTTCCGCTACTTCATAAGTAGGGCTCATTACTGCGAGGAACGCTTTCAAACATTTCCTGAAACCGCAGTACACATATATGATCTTCGTATACTCAAATTCTTTACTAGTTGATTGGTCCGTGGAAACTGGAACTTCAGTCAGGAAGTTGTTACGTAATCAACATTCATTTGATAAAACTGGAGTTAACTTAAGTCACTCACCACGTCTTTGATGGTGATAATTTCATATTCGAATTTCACCTTAACCGGTATTGATTCATTAAGACGTGGCAAGAAGTCCTTCCTGTACCCATCGAACAGTTTCTCGGAAAGTCTCTGGATCATCTTGCGCTTGCTATCTTCTGCAAATAGATGCTAACTGTTTAGCAGTCAATAATTTTTGCCCTCTGCTAGCTAAGGCTTGTTTACCTGAAAACTTTATTTTACAATACCTCATTTTTTATGTTTCTTAGAAATATTCTTCTCATTTAATTCTTTTTCGCGGGCACCTGCAAATTACTGCGTTGTTTGTATCATGGGCGCGAAGTGGTATGAAGAGATCGATTGGTATGAACGCACCTCAGATGTATTTCAGAACTCTTATCTCGAATAGGAATCCGAAAAGTCATACTTTTGTGGTCTAAAATAAGGCTTTTATTTACTATATATGGAATACAAAGTATATGAAATGTAGGGTAGAGCATGACAATTTACTTCGTGTCAACTGAAGGACACAACTAAACCATTCTTTTGAATAATTTGGATATATCAACAAAGTTGAAATGGTAAATTGGCCACCGTAATGATTACAAAAGCTGACGTTTCGAGCGTTAGCCCTTCGTCGGAGCGAATAGAGGAATTGAAATTCCTCTATTCGCTATTCCTCTATCAACTTTGTTGATATATCCAAAGTATTTCGTTACTCCCACCGACGCAGCCCCAAACAGTTTCTTTCGAAACTATCAGCCTTCATTCTTTTGAATAGGTAACCATTACTAATACAATAACTATTTGCAACATCTTAACTGCAGCGAAGTTCAAGAACAAACTTCGCCTTCAACAGGTAACCAATAGAAATCAAGCCTCTACAAAATCCGGGTTTAAAATGAGTGAAGCAGTTTTCCGCGTTTGTTGTGAAAGAAAAAAATGCCAAGAAAAACGATAGATAGATAGATACTTAACAATTTTTTAAACTTCTTCGGCTAGTTTCTCTCTCTCCCCTATCAACACCCTAACTCTTCACGTTCAGTGCTGTGAATTTAGTTCGAGCCGAATAATCAGAAATACATTACTTTCCTCTGGGAAGCGCTGGAGTATCAGTGAAATCTCTTTCACTTAAGAGCATAGGTTTTACTATGATTACTTCGAATGCGCTTACTTTATATTACTTGCAAGAAACAGTACACATTGAGAAAACGTCCATCTCAGCGATCGATGTTGTTTGCTTTTAGGAAAGCTCTCGGACATCGAGAGCTATTGAAAGACTTTTAAAACAAGGGGGAAATCAAAGAAATAAATTAAGAAAGAGCAAAATGAAGGTAAATAATAATAATAATAATAATTTTTATTAATAATAATAATAATTTTCACTGCTAATCGCCTTCGCAAAGTACAGCAACGACGCAGCTCAACAAGATCGAACCGAAAGCTTACAATGGCGCCTCTGGCAGCCGCTATACGGTCCATGTGTGACCTTGTAGCACAGCTTACAGCCAGCTGGAATCAGCTGTATGTTAGTTTTTGGTGAGGGAGGAAAACCGGAAAAACCGAAATCCTATCAACCGTTTGAAGTGATATTTTACTTCTCCGTCATATTTAATGAGGTTATTAAAAGAATTAAGGATATACTCAGAATTTTTTAGTGTTAAGATGGACTGTATGATAAAACATGACTGCCTGATATATTTTCAACTTCAGTGATTCCGTGTTGTTACAAAGCGAAGTTTCTTAATTGGATACGTTCAGTTGAATAGTTGGGTACCTAATGAAGAAAAGCATACGAAAACACGAACTGATTTGAATGCATATAGATTACCAAGCAGCCCGTTTGCATAAACCGGTGATAAAAATGACGCCTAAAACTATTTCAAAGTTTTTAATTATTTTCTTTGCTTTCTAGTAATTTTTCCATAAAATTAATGAGTTGTCGGATTGTGAATTTTAGAAAAAATACGATATAAAAACAGCGGCTCTGCTCATTTCTATGGAGCCAGATGGTTTCAGTTTAAGCCACAGTGGGATTTTGCATGAGTAAACTCATGGTAACGAAAAGCAAACAGAGAAAAATGCTCTATATTGCTAGAGCTTAACACCTAGAGTCAGTTAGGGTTAAATGATTTTATGGTCTGTCATAAGGAAAATTTTGCCAGATTGAATCAGTTGTTTTAGGTATAATTTCAGTCCAATTCTTATCTTAATGTTCATCGACAATGATAGAACAATAACGCACCAATAGTTGACCTGAGGTTTTAAATGCATCTTAACAAATAAACTTCAATTGAAGTAAATGCTTAGAGTAAGGCCCTAATGGCTTCGTCTTAGTCTTAAGGCTCCATTTTCTGCAATCGCATGATTTTATTTTAGTTTGCCTATGATGTAAGCTGAAAATTATTCCTCTGACCTACTTTTAGCGCCTTTACAAGTACCACGTTTTGTCTTGAGTGATTAAAGGTTTCTAGCAAATTTCAAATCCCCTTGGTTCATTACGTAATAATTTTTCTTAAAGTTCACATGGGGTTGTGAGTGAGTTAATGTAAATAATCTTCATAAAATCCTCGATCGATATGGTTCCCAACGTAAACTCATAGTTACAAAGCAACAGTCTAAAAACCTAAAAGGAAGATCATGATTTTGCAGTCAGAGTCACTATTCTATGTTTATAGGAAAATACCCACGACTAGTAACTTTCATCGGCGATTCGTTGTTTAATACAATTTATGTTCAAACTTACGTTGTTCATCGCAGAACATCTCGACAGCAAGAACAGCAGCACACATAACCAGGAACGCTGGTAACGTCACAAGAGTCAAGGAACGCATTGAAAAATTTCTAAAAAAAACTTCAGTATTCTGTAACCTGATCAGCCTTTCGTATGTTCTTAACTGCAATACTGCCTCGCGAGTGTGTTGATTACAGTTGGGGATTTTTCAATTAAATGTAGATAGCCAATTCTACTGGAGCTCATTAAAATAAGTTTGTTTCTTAGAGTCGAACACAACAGCACACCGCACTGATTAACAAATGCATGACGAGTCAAAAACAGGTTTTTCTATTGGTTGAAGTTCGGTAGCTCGCTGAGCTGAACCAAAGGGACAATAATTTGGAAAGTGTCGCGGTTTTGTTACATCGCAACTCGTGAGAGTCGTACGGTTTTGCCCGTAACCGCTAATTATTCATTGTTAATTTGGGACAAAACAAGGGTTTTTTTTTTTTTTTTCAGGCCTCAAACGAAATATTGGATCAAGACACGCACATAGGAACGCCGCATTAAACTTGCTTCAACATTGTCCCGCACTGCGGGAATGAAATTTTCAATAGTGCCCTTTTCAACGGATCTTTACTACAGACCCCACGCACACGCACGAACACACGTACGCACCAGGGACAACGTGAGTAGATACCTTGATAAAATGCACGGTATATAAACCATGGGTTGATTAATATCCGGTGGTCATATGAAAAAATTTTTAAAACGGTTGCGTACCGAACTGAAAATGAAACCTATTTCATTTCACCACAACGAAAAATTCCATTTCACTTCTCCGTCACAAAGTAAATCAAGGCTTTCCAATTTTTGCGATGTTTGACGAGATAGCAGATTAAATTATTAATGGTACGACCTCGGCTTTTTCTATTTCTTCTACCCCGGAGGTGCCCAGGCTTGTGAGCGGGAATAATTAAACTCTTTTCCCCTAACTTTCCCTCTCTCATCCCATTTTAGGGTTGATGGATACTAAAAAGAATATCTTTACCAGGCGGCTGTTAGGCTATCGTTAGGCCTGAACCTAGAAAGCTTACTAACGGGAGTATCTACTATCTATGGTCTCACAACTTCTCATCAGGAGGAACTATTCTGTTTCCGTCGCGGAAGCTGCGTCACAAACATTGCTTCTCGTTTATTAAGATACAAACTGGTTATTTTCCCTTTTTGTAAAATAATGGAGAAAAATTTAAGCTTACTACATGGTGTCAATTCATATAAAATACGAAGTGTTTAGGTAATCGTGACCCAAATATGTTATCTATTTTTCTCGTGTTTACTTTAGTTTTGCAAAGGAATCAAAAGCTCGACTAGGATCGTTTATATCTTCACATAGTAAGTGAATACCTCACAGAATACAGTACTTACACAGCAGCATAAAGATTTGAAGGTGTGCAGAAGATAATTATTTCCTTGTCGAATAACACCAGAAAATCGAGTTAAAGCAGCGGACGAGCGGATTTTTAGTATATGTATCAAAATATAAACATTGCACAAACATCCTCCATATAGTGAAGTTTATTTCATAGGTGCTGAGACAGTTAAGGAACCCGCAAATCAGCTTCCACATGTAGTAATAGCATCAGTTTCGTCTCTGTTTGGCTAAAAAATCCCATCGGTACTTTTATTGACCAACAGATCAATATACTCGGCGTCACATTCAAATATCTATGCACCAATTTTTTTAGTGCAAAGTATCAAATTCAAATACGGCAGTAGGGCAATAGGGCTCAAATCCGGAGTGCTACACTTCATATTTATAAGTGCTGGTGATAGAACCGAGTGGAGTTCAATTCGGTCTGTAATCAGACGAGTGACTGCAACTTGAAATCAGATGAGTGACTACAAAATCAGACGAGTGACTACAAAATCAGACGAGTGACTACAAAATCAGACGACCGTGAAGCGGGAGTCCGATTGGTTAATCACGAGACAGTATGATTATAGACCGAATTGGAGGACACTCGGTCCTAATTAATAATAGGCATAACAATTTCCGAAAAAAAAGACACATTGATTCGAAAAAGGGCTTTCAATGATAATTATCTTAAGTAAAAAAATTCTTCTAAGTTGGAAATTCCCCAGTTTTGAAGGGTACGTGGTTGTTGGTATGGTTATTGTAATGAAATCTGTGATTGCAGTAAACTGTCCGATTACACTGACTGATTACAACGCTAGGAAACAATTAGTGGGAATGCACCAAATGTTTTTGAGGAAAATGTAATGATTATCATAGTGATTTATTTTGTGTCCATCCGTGCCACTGAATCACAATAAACTAGAATTGTGCAGTCTTTCAGTGAGACCGCTTTTCTGAGTTAATGATATATTGTAGGTAGGAATTTGTTTCCACACCTTTCAGATATTTGACTTCTCTGCAACTTTGTCCTCTGTTTTGTGTTCACTGTACTAACTCCATAATTTATTAACTTAGTCCTCTGTTTTGTGTTCACTGTACTAACTCCATAATTCATTAACCTAGTCCTCTGTTTTGTGTTCACTGTACTAACTCCATAATTTATTAAGGTTATGTTTGAAAGATTGCAAAGTCTCTGGCTACGCAGTCGAAGTTCACCAAAGTTATCTCGTAAACAAGTGTACAAATATCAAAAATCTTCCGACCCGAGTTGTAAGCCATCGCCGGACAATACCCTCAACCTATTGCCAATATTTTATCCAGTTGATGGCCTGAAAACTTTTAAAACTCCACCACGGAGAAAGTTATGAGCGAGTTTAGCCAGCTCTCTACTCGTTACTCGATGTTTTATCAGTTCCAGCGGCGTTGTCTGACTGATTGCGTCTCAATCTCAGCAGTCTTTCAGCAGTCATTTCTTTGAATACTTATTACTGTTCTGTTGTCTTGGTCAATTTTTTACTATTACGACCAGTGGGAATTAATTCTTCATTTATTGATAATAATCCACGGTATAATGGCGAAATATTTTGCTTTTTTTATGTCAATGGCTCCCCTGTTTCCAGTGTAGAGAAAGCTCGAGAGATGACCTCTTCAGACGATTACTCATGAGCCAAACAGTAAAGTCTGCAAGCGAGGGGCTCTCATGAAAATGGCGAAAAAAGTCACAATGCCGGCAATAATTGACACCCACAGCAAGGCTCGATCCAGGACCCTAGCGGCCATTATCCATTCCCACTGACGTAACTGGAGCTCGTTTTCTTCGAGTTCTTCTCCATTCTCATCAAGAACTCCAGTAAAAGACATGTTACTATCGTCCCAGACACCTTCGGAAGCGGGGCTGCTTAATATGTAGTTGTCGTCGCCATTATTGAGTCCATTCAAGTTTGTACTCTTGACAGAATGTGCATATCGCAAGCCACCGTAATCCAGATTTTTTGACATCATAAACATGCTTTTGAGCTCAGCAACAAGGTGGTCGTCTTGTCTCTCGGAATCATCGGGGAAGGTTTCTCTTGTAGTCAGTTGGTCACGACTGGCTGTTCCCTTCTGTATGACTTCTTGATTGTCCCTGAATTCCCTCATGCTTGAAAAACGCCGAGTGGAACGTTTGCGTTTTGGCTTTGGACAGCTTTTTTCCACAGCTTTCCTCAGAAAAACGACGCGCGCCGTCCACTCTAGTAACACCTTTTGCATCCACCGTGGCATTTTTTTGTTTTTGCGGTTCGTGAAATTTAGAACCACAGTTGTTGCTAGGAGGGAAATACTAATTTCAACGCTGGTTGCAAAATAATACTGACCGAGGAGCGGGAAATCAAATGAAGGGAAAATGTTCGCTGTTAATTGTTGGAAGACTGTCATGGCGAGCAGAACAGTAATGCTCAACCCAATCCTCTCTCCGCACTCTGGAGGAAGAATAAAACCCAGAAATATCATAGTCGAGATGAGAAAGCAAGGAATGATTAAATTCACGCAGTACACGAAAAACACGCGGCCTATTATTATAGTAACTGTAACGTCGTCGAATGCACCTGTACTGTAATGTACAACGTTTCTTTTAGACGTGATCTCTATGATATCCCATTCGCCATTGTTCACGTACTGATCCGATTTTCCAGTCATGTTTTCTGGACACAAGGTTAGTTGCTGACTGTTAGAAGCCCAAGAACCGAACTTGAGCAGGCATGTCTGCATGTCAAAAGGGAAGTAGGTGACATCTATGGCGCAGACGGTCTTGAAGATGGCAGGACTCATCCAAGAGTTTTGGCCGTTGGCTTGCATGAGAACATTGGTTTGGTATGTTGTTGGCCCACCACCAATACGGTCATGGAAGTCAATGCTTGAAAAAGCAAATCATTGAATTAGCCTCGTTTGAAACGAAAATAAGGTTTGTCCTTGAGCAAATAGGGCAGAATATCTTCTATAGACTCTAAATTTGGCATGGGCATTTCTTTATTAGGAAACCCGACTTCATAAGAAATCATCACCCAAGATCAACTGAAAATAGTCTGGCGACACTGACATGTTTTTAAGTTAATCATACCCAAGGAGCATTTAAGTCTTTAAAGGAAATACAATTATGGCATGGATCAATTTTTTACGACATAAAAACTTAAAGTTACTAGGATAACTAACTAATGTTCAGGGCTTTTACACCATTTTGTCATTTATTTTCAAGAATATTAATTTTCCTCTATATCAAGATTTTAAAACTGAGCCGGAATCTCTCTACCATAGTCATTTTGGGTTGCATGCACAACATATGATTTTCAGCTTTGAACTTTAAATAACTAATTTTCTGCACAGTCTTCCCTAAACTCACGACCGGCCCTAAACCAAGTCATAATCAAACTGCGCATGATTTGGAGAATATTCGGCAGTTCTCGCAAGGACGTAGTGACAAGCCTTACTTGTTATAGACTAGAACATCTGGTACCCAGACCCTCTCGGCGTTCGTCTGAATGGATTGAATGCCGCCAAACTCGGAAGAATTCCATTCGAGATACGGGTTGTACCATTTCTGGAGTGAAGAGAATAAGATCATTAGATCTGTTTACATTTGAAGAGTAACCCATAATAGGAGACTGGAAACCTATACCTTAATTGTAGCTTTTTAGACCCTTAGATTGATGGCTTTTAATTTCTCTTTTACAGATCACTCTTGGATCAAATGCAATGGTCGCGAGAATAAAGGAAATAATCACAAATTTAAAAAGCTTCTGATTGTCGAACAAATTTTCCCTTTCAGTAGCATAAGAAATATAAAGACAATTATTATTCTAACGCGAAAAAAGTTTGGAAAAATACAGTGTGATGAACCAGTTATTGAAAAAGATGCAAATTACCTGTCGCACCCAACCATAAACTGTGAACGTCTGTTCCTTTGCATTCTGAAATCACACACAAAAACATGGTTTAAAGAAAAACAAAAACTGGCACACGAGAACATACTTTTGTCATAGTTGAGCTACTCTCTCGACCAATCAGATCCAGAGCTTAATCTTAGGTCTCTCCTTGGTCACCCACTTTCTATCGCTCTTTTCACCTTTAACGTGTCTTCACTGATAGTTCTTATGGAGTCTCCTTGGTATTTTCCTTATTATTCTGATTGGTTTTTTGCTCATACGGTGGTCAAAAGAAATGCATTTTTAAACGAACTTGATAAGGTATTAAGTATCTTTAATGATTATAACATTTTGATATTCAATTTGGGTGAACTTCAAAACGTCGACTTGGCAGGTTGCTGAGACGACATTTATCAAAGGTAAGCAAGACTTTTCCGGGGGCCCAGCACCAAAGAGCAGAGGGGAGGAGTGGGGATGTAGGGTCAACATGCATTCGAGACCTCCCTCTCTATTAGTTGCATCGTTGTCTATCGACCTCCTTTAAAGGTGTACGAGGAAGTTTCAAACAAAGAATTCCTCAGGAAGTGACTGTTTATTTTAAAAGTTCACTTACCACGTCTTTGATTGTGATGAGTTCAAAATCAAATTGGACCTTAACCGGAGCTGATTCGTTCAAGCGCGGCAAGAAGTCCTTTTTGTACCCGTCAAATAGCTTCTCAGAAAGTGTCCTCCTCAAAACACGTTCCTCGTTTTCTAGAAGTAAACGGTAATCGTATTCAACACAAAAATCTTTATTCTAGGCTGCATGCTGTTCTTGTCAAGAATCGCCCAAAGAAAGAGAGAAATTCAACAATAGACTGTCAGAGGAGGCAGGCTGATCCGGAATGGTGAAAACATCGGGCATGTTTCTTGATTTCTAGGATATACTTATAGACACTCGGTTTCTAAGATAATTAATTATTCCACCTTGTTTAAAGTTTCTTATTAATTATGGTTAGCTCATGGGTAGAACTGGCAACCGAAACTAAGAATAGCATCCATTGTTGGCTCTATGTCTCCAAAGCGCCTCGTTCTCTCGACTCGAAATAGTGCAAAGTGCGAAGTGTCGTAATGCTTAATTTACCCTGCAAAATGGTGCAGGACAGAGCATGCAGATGTTAGAGATTAAATTTTTCAAGTTCTCTGTAAAACTGTGCTTGAGGCCATCATTGCTTGTAACAACTGCTATAGAGATTAGATTCAAAATAATTTTGATTGAACAATAGTGTTTGAAAAAAAGTGCCGCCTGTGAAACTGGCAGCTATGTTAAAAGACACCGCCAAATCATTAAAGCATGAGTCGTTTATTCATTTTGAGATGCATTGAAAACTTATCCTGCAGAAATTCTGGAAAATTAAAAAGGTTGTCTTGAATAAACATCATTGTGTGGACGAAAGCATTTTTTCCCAAAAGGTAGGGTTTCTGATAGTAACGTTTTATCTTGATCATAAGTGAACAAAAATCCGGCGATTCATCCCAGGGGTTTCAATAAAAACAGGCTAACAATGGTCTACCGACCGCCTCCTGAGAGCGTTTCCTTATGCCGTCTATTTGCTCTGCGAAAAGGCTCCCGTGTTTGATGCGTAAACACCATCGGCAACAGCTTATGGAAAATGTTGAAAGCCCTGCGTTCCGTACGTAAGAAGTGTGATAAACAGAAAAATATGTCAATGACGGTTTGCGGCTTTGATGAATTTGTCTTATCGTTTGTTTTCATTTCGTTCTATTGTGAGCACCTTAGTAATTCTAATAAGTCGACTCTTCTGGAAAAATCGAAAAAAGGGAAAACAAAAAAACCTGTTTGAATTAATATATTTTACTGCAACTGAAAAACTAGATAATGGTGAAATTTCCACATTTGTAGGTGTAACACGTTTCATTGCATTTATTTGAAACTAAACACGGTCAAAGCTTCGCGAATGAATGTCCGATTCCTGAGTTCAATTGGCTCTGATTTTATTCTGGCTTAGTCTTATTTTACTTTAAAGAGGATCCTCAGTGGTAATGCCTTTAAAAAGGTAATTTATTTCGTCTTGCTTTTAATTTTAAAGTGAATCATCAATTCTTTATGTAGATATTTTTTCTTTAAACAAGTGCAAGTTTGTATAATATTTTATGACACTGACTAATGACAAACCCTTTAACGCCTTTATCGTACTTTAGAGCGACACTTGAATAAATTGTTAATTTACGCATAGTTAGTAGAGGGGACTGGCATTCCCCTCTACTCACTATGATTTACGACCGTACAACGTAATGAAAGCGGACGGTGCCAAACTTTTGTAATCGGATACGAAACATTACCAGAAAACCCTTTACCGGCCATAAATTTGTCGCCGTGTCGTTTTTAAAAAGAAAAATGTTGTGGTTTTAGCATAATCGCACTACTTAATTACGAAATATGAAATAAGAGAGGCTTGAAAAATACGCAAAAAATATTCTTTTACATTGTTTTTTTGTTTGTTTTTTTTTTTTTTTTCTCGTTGCTTTAGTTGCCAATCCAGCCTTTTCAATATCCCATTAAGAGCTATACCCAGTTCAACGACTTCGTGAAATGTGAACCTTAGGGTTTCATTTTTTATATCATGGCAAAGAGGCTATGGAAACTAATGATTCTTTATTAGTTTCAAAATGAGCACATATTTGCATTTTTCGTAAATTTTGGTTTCCTTGATAGGAATTTTAAAAAGATCCCAAATCTTTGAACGCTTTTGAAATTTTCATGACATACGTCCATCCTTCAAGTTCATAATGGTTCTTGTTTTCCCTTCATATTTTTTTCAGCAATGACCAGAAAGAATTTTGTTTCATGCAGAGTTTATTATTTATCAAGGGTCTATCGCAAAAAGCGAACATTAATCGCATGTGAACTGTATATTTATTTTTCTCAAATTGCGATTTGATTTCGTATGTGGACTACTTCTTCGAATGCTTTATCATAAAACACCGAGTCGCAGCGTGATAATTCATCATTTCCCGTCTGATTATACCGCGATAAGATATAGTTTATACATGAACTTGCCGAGGGATGATGCCTGAAAACTGTACGTAGAAATTTAACAACAGGTTAACATAAGGCTACATGAAAAACACTACTGAACACTGTTCATCGGGTCTATTTTTCATGAGTTGTAAAGCGGATGGAGTTCTTTCGATGATAGCATCTTCTAAATGAAATGCACGTCCAATTGTTGGAATTGTTAACGTTGCTTTACGAACATTAAAAAGTCGTGTTTGCGTAAGTTATATGTACACTAACCTTGGTTGTCACATAGAACTTTGAAAGGACGAACAGCCACGCACAGCGTGAACACCAGAAAGGCCAAGGAACACATCGAAGTGTCTTCGCTAAACTGCTGTTTTATCTTGTTTTTTCGTACTCACTGGAAAACTGCCACCTGAGTTTGTAAACTTCTCTATGGGGATTTCCTGACGTTTAATTAATTCCGTGTACGCCTATTATGACAAAGTTGACGCCTCGGGGTTAACACAATGTCTGGGTACTAAATTTAAAACCTGTCGGCAACCAGGTACTTAAAATTCACAGAAAATATATGATCTTACAAAAGAATCGTTTAGGTCGTGCCGGGCGGAATAAAAGGTATAATGAACTTGGGTGACATCATGGCAATTTTTCTTCTCCGAAGTAGTCATTAATTGTTAATATGGTGAAAATGTGAATATTTTGTTTTTATCCATATGAATTACAATGGCTTAATTTTATCAAGATTATTTCAAAACACGGAATGACGAAAAGTCGCCTCGTTGCAACCGTTCTTCAATTTTTTCTCGCTTCAGGGTCTTGGTTTTGAGAAATACGATTAAAAAGATTTCTCTTCGTTTTGTGTTGATGGAATAGGCCCTTCACATCGTCGCCAAAGCTTCTCGAAATACTGACCACATGACGTACATTTCAATTTTCACACCTCAGAAGAAACGTTTTACGTTTTTCTTCGACTGCTGCGAAACTTCTTAAACTGAGTGTGTCTGCTTTTTTTTTAGAAAATTAGACTGAAAGGTTTCAATCAAACTCAAAAATTTCCTTTCCGGTTCAGTGGGATGACATGTAAAAGAAATCTGCTTTCATAAAATGTGTTTCATGAAGGTATTTTTCTTTTCTAATTTATATTCCCATCAACACTGTCGAACTAGTCACAAAAATTAGACCATTACTCGATTAATACGAACTCAACCGAAGGAGAAAGTGTCTTTCTCAGTGTATGGGAACTTCCGAATTGGTCTTTTCATACGCGAGACAAATGGCCATTCGCGACTGAAATTTTAAAGTACAGTACTTAAAGAACCTTTTTGAAGAAGTTCTTTTACTAACTCAGTTCAGTTTTGTGGTAGGCGAGATGACGAAACTGTGGTAAAAACACCCTTCATCTTGTCTCATTCATCACTTTTGGTACATAAATTACACAATGTCGCCTTCAGACTGTTTTTTCATGTTTTTTTTTTTTCAACAGTTTTGAGAAGTGCTGAAGATTCAACTAACTTTATAGCATGATTACTACCTTCATATTATTATTCACTGTTGAAAAGTTACCAGAAGGGATTATGAAATGATTTAGTGTACTCTGGGAAACGCACGTCAGTAAAAACCAGCGATGGTTTGTCTCGTACATCTGTTTGGATAATTAGTCTTATACAATGCAATAGTTTGGTGGTTTTAAAGTCATTTGAATTTTTGTGTTAGGCCATCAACTAACAAAGGTCTATCATTAATACTTTATCACTTCTATGGGTTAAATTACTTACATTTGGTGTGGTTTTATCATAAAACGAGAAAATATCCCGTTTATAAGGCACATAGAACTTCAGCTTGAACAATCTTAAAACAAATCAAGCTTTGTTCATGCCATCCTTCCATTGTTGACAAGGAATCTACCTTCTGTGCGATTGAGTAAACAGGTAATCTTTTAAAGCGATTGTTATAACATGTCTAGGGAGATCCTAATGCGCTTGCGCGCAGACATATTCCCTTTGTTAAAACAAACATGATTTCCGTACGTATGTTTGTTCGGTGGCTGTTTTTCACCCAACTAAACAATGCATATTCAGTTCTTTTAGGTAAAATTAAGGGCATCTGGTAAGAAGCAACATTCCAGAAAGAATCTTCAGTAGCGCATGACAAACATCGGACAACTTGGAGAAGGAAGGAATGAAATTCTTGCCGCTCCGTGACTGCTATGAGCTATGATGGCACATAGGTAAAGAGGGTGTACGTCACTGACCAGAATTTAAAGTCTTCCTCACACCATGTTTACTCAAAGCACATTTACAGAAGAAGACATAATTAATTGGGGCTGACAAATCACGGCCGGAGTATGACGCACGGCATGATGGGGAGACTGGGATGGTAAGAAGTTTCACGCCTTGAATTACGTAGCTACAATCAAACCACAGCGAGTTAAATAGAAAAAAATTGGAGTATACCGAAGAAAGAGACTAGCCGGACGTGGACTGACGAAAATAAGCTTCGTTCAGGTCGTCTGCCAATGAACACGTACGGAGAAGGTTGGCCAAAAGTGGTCAGGTGATTGATTTAAGAAAGTCGGCTCTATAAACTTTTGACTTGCTCGTTTCTTTTCTTTTAATTTCATTTGTTGAGATAGTCAAAACTTCCACTGAACTAAAATAAGACACAAACAGCAGTGATAAAAATATCTAAATTGCACATTTTGATTAGACACAAACAGCAGTGATAAAGTTGAAGTTGAAGTTGAAGTTCATTTATTTGTTTTAGCAGGTTGATTAATTTGGCAGCTGTAATAGCTGATGTGGACCTGCTGTCCTAACCCACCCATCCCACCCCAGGGGAGGACATCCATCACACAGTAATCTCGTGTGTGGGAAATTAACGTCTCCTGCCCCAACCCTGCAGGAGACGGGACCTCCATTTATTCGTCCCTATCCGAGAAGACTAGAATATCTAACCATTTCTTGATGTTATAGAAAGGTGGCAAATTCTTCTCAATTATTTTAAGACCTTGAACCCTCGACCTTCCGCACTACAATCCAGCGCTCTATCCATTGAGCTAACCGGGAGGCGGTTAGCTCAATGTTGAACTTGCACATTTTGATTATGACTTGACGTTTCGTATGTACTCCAACCGCTAACGTCAAGAAGTCACGTGACCAGTGCCTTGCCGTCAGGTTTGCAGTTTCAGGTTCACGTTTGTACGGCTGGACCACGCTCTAGAGGTAAGTGACTTACCGCAAGGTTTTTTGCAGCCTAAAACATCAAAATCCCACGTTTGAGAGGAAATACTACGTTTTAGAACTCTTTCGCTTATTAATTGTCGAATTCTTTTTCATAGAAACGTAATTTTGAAAACGATTTCTCAGTCAAATAGAAGTGAACGAATGAATGAAAACAAACATGGCGGTCGGCTATTTGCTGTTAAAACTGTTTTGCCGGTCTGATTACCTTGAGGGTAAACAAAAGCCAATTTCCGGTAATATGTGAATACACGAATGCTTATTTTGTTTCCTTAGCCGTGGCTTTGTTCAGATGGCCAAGCATACAAAGCTGCTTCAAGAAATAAGAAATCGAGATCTTCATCGCTCGACAACGAACCTTCAGAACTACTCTCGTCCAGCTGCATAATGTCTAGCAGATCTTTGAAGTCCTGCTCAATTTAAAGAGGATCAAAGATTTAGTGTTCTGCTCTCATTAAGTAATCAATAAAATCCAACAAACACATTGATCCACATATCACCTTCGGGCAGCAGCCATACCAACCGCGAATCTTAAGTCCCAAATATGGGCAGACGGCTAACGTGAAACCGCTAATGGCAAACCGCGGTTTGCTGTTTGCGGTTAGATGGCCAAACCTTAATCTTAAGGTCTCTTAAAATTCTTAAAAGTCAGTAACCGCACTAACTGTTTTTGGAAGCCTTAAATAGTTTTATCGGTGCAAACATTATCATTTGCGTTTCAGGGTGGATAAAAACAGACAATAAAATTTTCTTAAATTGTTCATGTGGTATATCGGGTGTCACGGAATGCATACTTAGAGAACAACAGCGTGAACACCAAGTCTATTAAAAAAAAAAAAAAAAAGAACAGAAAAGTAACCGCTGACTTAGCAGCCATAGACAGGTGTTTTAGCCCGAGTAATCCTTAATTAGTAGTCTATGCAGGAGAACGAAGTCATCCAGTCGCAAAATGTGCAAAATAGAAGCACACGAGGCACAACTGAGTGTTTTACTGCTATTTTTTTCCCACATATGACGTCCTCTGCGATCCATTACTGAACACACGTAACACAACATGGAAAATATTTGTTTGTGATATCAAAAAGATCAACCAGGCAACTGTAACGTTTTGTGGGGATGATTGCACAAACACAAAAAAATGGAGAAGGTACGAGAAGTTTTCAAAACCTCTACCTCTGTCCTATCTGCGCAGTCGGTTGAGTGATGGATCACAGATGTAAACATGCGTAAGAACAAAAAAGGGGGCACATGAGGTGCTCAGTTACCATATATTACGCCTGTTGTGATTTATCACAGTACAGACCCATGGCAACATAGAATTCAACCGTTTTTTTTATTTTATCAACAAGCAAAGTGCAGTTGTACTACACTACAACAACAATAGTATTGTCGATGGTAACGTTCTCTATGCATCTATCTTCCAGTAGATCATACGTATGAACCAAACAAAATGCGTGTAAAATTCAGCTTATTATATAAAAGCAACTGTTGTAACTGTTAGCTTTCAATAGTTCATATCAACATGGGAAATGTTTTAAATTGAAATTACAGGAAAAAGGTTGACAAAATGTAAATAAAACATTCAAACATTCAAAAAGGTTGACAAAATTCAAATAATACATTCAGTATTATCTTTAGATAGCCGTTTCTATTTCTAATTGGCGACTACCGTACAACTAAAAATGTTGCTTAAATTTCCATCAATGCTTTTTTACTTAATTATTTGACTTTCTTATTAATGGTCTCGCCTTGCCTATTCAAATCTATGTAACACAGTGCTTGCACAGTTTTTCCAAACTTGTGAAGGCTTTATTGTACAAATTCAGGCCTAAACAGAGCAAATTCCCTTTTGAGTTAGCCTACTGGCAACAACTTCGCAGAAAATGCTTACAACAGTCTTCATTCGTTACAAAATTAAGAACCCATTCACTCCCTTGATCTAATTAGTAACTCTCCTTGCTACTTGCCATACAATTCTTATGATGCTGGTTCTGAGAACTTAGCCGAGATGAAATCAAAGCCTAATCCTCTAACTGATATTTTTCTTTATTCCCATCAATTGATTGCTTGATATCGTCTAAATATTGTTGGGAGAAATTCTGTCTTGGTCACTCATGGGAGTTGAAGTGTTCAGTACGGCTATGTAAAGTACAAGGAAACTCGCTTTGTCGAAACAGTTGACACTTAACGCATCTACCACGCTTCGTTTGGTAACCTTTACCAATACTCACCGCCAACCTTTACTTAACTTATTGTCTCATGCCAACAGTCTCACTTATTGTCTCATGAGCACAGTCTTTCTTTGACGTGATAGATATATTCTATTTGCATAAGAGTTCAACGTAAAGCTAATATAATTAGTGCATGCAATCTTGATACCAGGATTTTGTGCTTTACTTTGGGTACCAAAGAGGTAACACACCCAGATGACCGCACGACTACTTTTTGTCTGTACCTAAGTCAAGACACACAAAATTTTTCTTTTGATAATGCAGGCTAAATAGCATGTAATTTACGAAGCCGTTGAATGAGTTCTATTCGTCGACCAATTGTTCAGGTTTGTCGATCGTTAGCGTCTCAGGAGGAGACCATATCTTCGGTGCGCGCAAAAATATTGCCGCAACCGTAACTATGCCACAGATTATTGCTATCACAAGGAAGAACCGATCCAGAATCCTTGCTACAAGAGTCCATTCCCAGTGACGTATGGCCAACTCGTCTTCGCTTAAGGCTTCATTGTCGTCCATATAGGGACGTGCTTCCTCGTTTTTCTTGAGTTGATCATCCAGCGCTTCACTGGAGCTCTTGAAGGGATATGTATTAACACCATAATTGAGCTGGATTCCAAGATTTTCCATTTCTACACCCAAGGCCTCGGTATTGGAAGGACCGCAGTAAATGGTGTCACCGAATGTTACGTTAAATCCCTGGTTGTGCTGGTCTTTCATTTCTTCTTGTTTCTTCTTGAAAGACCTTTTGCAAACGTCGTTAATAATTCCCTGCTGTTTTCGTCTTCGGCTTCTTCTACTGGATTTCCGCCGCTGGATTTTTCTTTTCTCTGGTGTATCCTTCAGGAAAACTATGGTTGCCATCCAGTCTATGACAAGTGTTCTTATCCAGCTGGGCATTCTACGATTCGTTCGGTGATAAAAGTTCAAAATCGTCGTGGTCACCACAACCGAGGCACCTATCTCCAAGATAATAGCAAAATAATACTGTCCCAGAATGGGAAAATCATACGATGGCATTATCTCTGAGGTGAGTTGCTGGAACACAGTCATCGCTAACAGCACGGTGATGCTTAACCCGATGCGTTCTCCCGATTCAGGCGGCAAGATAAAACCAAGGAAAATCATGGACGAAATTAAACAGCAGGGGACGATGTAATTAATGAAATAGTCCATACTTTCCCGTCCCATTTCGATAGTCACCGTGATGTCAATGAACGGCTTGTCACAACATTGGTAGTGCTCTTTGTTTCGCTTCATCTTCACCTTATGAATTTCCCATTCTCCATTTTCTTGGTAATGCTTCGTTGGAAATTTCAAATTTTTCATGGGAGTTATGTCAAACGTAGTGGCGTCGTACATCCAGGAACCGAACTTGAGTTTACATGTTTGATTGTCAAATGGAAAGTACGTGACTTTTATCCTGCACAGGACAGTGAACATCATTGGGTTTAACCACAGGTTGGTGCCATCGGAAGAGAGGGTGACACCGCTCCTATAAGTGGTTCTCCCTCCGCCAAAGTGATCTTGCTCGTCTTTGCTACAAAGAAATAAATTGAAAAAAAAATCGTTGAGGCAGCGTAGAAAAAACAGCTTGCGTCATTTTCATTTCGATAGATCTTAAGGTGATTCGTCCGATAAAAGAAAAGTTACCCAACGATCTTTTTTAAAAGTTTTTGAAATGTTTCGTACCAATGTCTTTTTCAAAAAATTTATTAAAAGGATAGGTCACCATGCCTGCTTAAGATATATAGTGAGGCAATATCAATCTTACCCGATTTATGCCTGTACTAGTACTAGTCATGCGCGTCGTTTTATCAGTTCACGGTTCATTTTGCCGTAACTGGATGCAAGGATTCTTAATTGACAAAAGTAAAGCTTAAAAAAATACTTGATAGGTAGAGAGCCTCCCTTCATACGGAACAATGAAATATATAGAAAACATAAACATATGGAACAATGCAGTATATAGAAAGCCTCCATACATATGGAACAATGCAGTATATAGAAAGCCTCCATACATATGGAACAATGCAGTATATAGAAACATATACATATGGAAGAATGCAGTATATAGAAAGCCTCCATATATATGGAACAATGCAGTATATAGAAAGCCTCCATATATATGGAACAATGCAGTATATAGAAAGCCTCCATACATATGGAACAATGCAATATATATTTGCGGAAAAAATCACGCAATTTTAAACAAAATCTACTCAAAAGGTTCTTCGAGTCGTTACTTTTAGGGTCATAACTTGCATCCTTGAGCAACGGGCTTCGTGCACGCTTTAGGCCATACTTTTTCCCTCCTGTGATTTTTTAACTTCTCCAATTTGTATACCGAAAATTATACAATAAAAAATTAGATCACTGTGCTCGTTCAAGAGCAAAATACTATCGTACCTGTTTATCTAGTCCATTGATTGAAAAACAATACCATATTCTCGGAATGCGCGTGCTTATTCACCTGATTACGGGATTTTTAAGTGCAGAAGAGGATGTGTATGAGGAATCACCTCAAGCATTATTCTGTCCTCCCTCAGACTAAAAGTAATGACTGGTCCCTAAATAAGAGACAACTATTGGTCGTCGTCTCGTTACCGGAACCTACATCTAACAAATTGATTAAACCTGACCAAACCAATTGATTAACCGCTTACTTGTCATAGAGAAGAATATCCGGAACCCAGATCCTCTTTGGCTCCACAAAAATTTTCTTTATTCCGTCAAAGTCAGATTCGTTCCACCGTAATGAAGGGTTTTTCCATTTCTTAAGAACAAAAAAGAAATTAAAAATTAGTTTATCATTCATGAGTTCATTAAATGCACCTGATACGAATTCATAACTTGAATTCCGAGATGGAACCGCGCCCATAGGATTTCAGTACACCTCAAAAACGACGTTTAGCAGTTCATACTTAACAAGGTAGAAAAACGCTCGTCCCCTGAGGTTCTTAGTTGTTTCTAATTCAATCAGGCATTTCAGTTTCGTGGCGCTTAAATCAGATAAGATCAAAGCCAGCAACGCACGCGAATGGAGCGCTTTTCAATTGTGTGTCGTAAAATCAATACCAAAGTAACAATCAGATGAAAGGAAAATACTTTTGAAATTAAAGCCAATGAGAACTCAGGAAATAAAAACAGCAGGAAAAAAGGCGGGAAAACGCGACTGGTTTCAGTTTTGCATCTGATTGGTGTAGATAGTGACGCGGGTTTTCTGGACCAATCACGGCGTTAAGTAAAGCAAAACAAAGGCAATCTCGGTTCTGTCAGCCGATTCAAAATAACTCAAGGCTTTTAACAAAACTGACCTGTCTAACCCAACCATATACTGTCATTGCTTGCTCTTTAGCGTTCTGTAGAGGAACAAGAGAATATCAAAATCATACATCGCGAAGTTTTATCAATAGCGGCAACAGTTATGAGTACAACTTTAAAAGAGAAGGACATCTTGTTCTTGAAGGCAGAGAAGGCGTGACTTGGGGCGACATGGTGACTACATGCAGCAATACCCTCCCTCCCCAAATTTTTTAAATTCAAGATTTTCCATCCTTAGTTCCTTTTTCTATGGTTGGTTTTCTATCTTAGAAAAATAACATTTTAAAATTCCTTTACTCAATATAGAAAGCTCTGCAGATCTCACAAAAATAGTTCGTGTTAAAGAATCTTTAACTGGTTCCTTTACACGATAATATAAACCTTTTCATCCCCCCACCCCTCTCCCCCCGGTTACAAGTGTCAATAGGCATTTCCAAATTACCTTTGGCCTCTTTTTCAAAACGAGGCCTAGTGCTCAACCATTCATATGAAAATGAATTAAATTTGCAAGTGAACGAAAAGTTATAATCAGATGAAAGGATACGCACCAAGACTTGCTATGAAAAAGAGGTCATAGTTATAATTCGGAAATGGGCTGTTCTCCCTACAGACTGCCGTAAATTTCCCACAAGTTTAACTCTGATAAGAGAGTGTTAAAGTAAACTTAGTCTCCTTCTTAATATATAAGATATTTCTTTGCTCTCATAACCTCTCCACTTGGATATGGATTTCAAGAGGAGAAACTACTTTCTGATCACTCTGAGGAGTAAAAGGTTGAAAAAAACCATGCAGCATTAACTCTTTAACCCCTAAGAGTGACTAGTATCTAATTTCTCCTTACAATATCAGCCCTGAATCACACATCAAGGTCATGAGAATAAAGGAAATCATCACTAACTAAAGCAGTTCTTGATTGTTAGACAAGTTGTCCTTAGCAGCATTATAGGAAAAGTATAGAGAACGGTATGGAGTATGTACATAATGATGTTACGATGTAAAGGGTTAACGGAAACCAATGGTCACCTTGATCTTAACGGAATTCACAAAAATAGGAGATACACTTACCAATTCAACAATTTTGATGAGCTCGAACGCAAAGTGGACATTAATGGGAACAGAGAGGTTGTGCTGTGGCAAAAGGTCGACACTGTAATAACTCTCATTGAAAAGCCGTTTGTGGAGTCTCTGTTCGGCGCTGAGTTTTGCATCACTTGCTGAACCTACGATAGATAGATTACGGACAACATTAAGCCCAAACATTTATAGTGGACATTTTCACTGACTGATATTCCCTGTGGCTACGTATCCGTTCTTCTTTAAATACCATTCCAGTAGTTGTATGGGAGAAGAATCTCGAAAACCTAAGATGTATTAAGTACGAGATCAAGTTATCCCGAAGCTTTAAAACAAAGCTATTGCAAAAATGTTACCCCCATTCATGGGGCACTTTATGATATTTCGATTCTTGTTAGACCTCTCCAATACAATCTTAATTTAATAATGGATACTCAGCTGATTAATAATGGTAATTGAACTGAGTGGAGTGCAATTTGGGCTGAAATCATACGCGTGATTTCAAAATCGAACGAGCACGCAGCGCGAGTTCGATTTAAAATCACAAGTATGATTTCAGACCAAAATTGCACGACACGAGGTTCAATTACCACTTTATTATATCCATTTTGAAATCACCCAAATACAGGACTTGCTCAATTCAAATATTTAACTGATGCAGTACTGAGCCGGTTTTTAAATAATAAGTGGAACCGGAAACGCTTTTACATCTTATTTTGTATGCAAAACAGAAAGACTGACGTTATGTGTCAAAAACTCAGTCAAGCGTGAAATGATGCGATTTAGAGCAAAACATGGAGCGATTCGAGAATAAATCGCACCAATTAGAGCCAATCAGATTACAGGGACCACCAGTGATTTCAAAATGGATGTAACAAAACATTTAACATAAAGTTCACTGATATGCTTTGAAAATACCGAGATTTTCCAGGTTTTTGTTGCTATTCATAATTCTTGGGAAACAACTTGGTTCGACAGTATTAAAAAGCAAGATATTGGGTCCCCACTCAGTTGCTTCAACGTTCGCACGTGCGCGCACTCTTGACTACTTGTTAGCAGCTGGAGCTTCTACGTGGATTGTTTAGACGAGACATCACACCTGTCTTATTTGCAGGACGAGGAAATTGAAAATTGATACTATAGACCCGCTTCGTTATGACGAATCTTTCGTTATTTCTTTAAATGAGCTTTCATAGCTTGTACTGGCTAATCAGCTTCGTACCTTTCTTTCCAACAAGCTTCCCCAAAAACTACCTTAAAACCGAAAGCATTTTCCCTCAAAAGTTACAGAAGCCTAAAAGCTTATGTACGTGCGCATGAATGAAGAATTATCATGCCCACCATTTGTGTTGGAGGTCTACTGCGGCGGAAAGCAAGCCCTGGGTGTGTGAGATAAAGATAAACCCGCTGTTTGCATCAACTACTGCACCTCTGTACTTCCGCTTTAAGACAGGGATGGTAGCGAAGAAATCGTAAGCTTTACATATTGGTCGAAAAATAAATGATTCTATATCCACCAGACACAGTTTGAGATGTTACAAATAAGAAGTTTCTATCACTAAAACCTTGTCGTATGTAGCAGTATCTGTAGTGTTACCTTCATTCCATAATCTTGAGCATGAAACAATGCAGTTTGTATACTCTTATGGTTTCTTATAACAGGGTGTAACTAATAGGAAACCATCAATTTGTAACACGGTTCCAGATACATGTATATGGAATTAACTTTAACTTTTTTCAAGCAACGATTGAAATATGCCAACGTGGGGAACGACTGCATCAAGAAACCGAGAAATATATCTGGGGTTTCGTAAAACAATGAAAAAAAAGAAGATTATCTTGTTTTATTCGTATGTTTCTTTGAGTGGTCTTCATATCGAGTTTTAGCGTTTCAGTTTTTTTTTTTTTTTGGTTGAATAACACCGTTTCCTATTACAGCTTCTTATATTTCCAATGTTCTCCTCACAGTTTAGTCATTCATACATTAGGTTCAAAAGACCTATGCTTACGGTTGTCTTTGTTTGTATTTCAATTCTCTGTGTAACTTAGGTTCTTAGTCTGTAAGTGAGAGTCAGTACAAGTTATGATCTATCATTGCGTGCCTTACCTTTTGATAAAATAAATCCCACCAATATGTCAACTAAGAAAATAAGCTTTTTCTTCCTTGAGGGAGACATCTTCGTCCATCATTTACTTTCCATCTGTCAAGATTTGCATAATCCTTTAGAAGAAGCCCTTCACGTAAACGAAAAACTTCCGCTTTTTTTTCAATTTAAAGGAATGTTTAATTATTGTTCAGACTAAGTTGACTTATTTTTTTTTACTTACTCTAAAAATAGTCTCGTTTAAACTCTGATAATAATTTCTTCTTTAGTTTTATTCGTCAGAGTGAAGGATAAGACTAACCAACCCATTTAATGGCGATATAAAGTTAATTTTTGTAGAAGCATCATGTAATGTTGTTATTTTTATATTATGCAAGGCTCATAGCATTTCTTTTCAATAGAATCCCAAGCTTTAAGTATGATTGCATTTTTTCCAAATTTTCCGGATACCTTCAAACAAAGCAATTCACAGTAAGTTCCAAACGTTCAGAGATTTTACAACGCGGGGCGATTCCTAACTATATCCTCCAGTCACCTTCAGTGAAGTAAGAGTTATAGGAAGTTGAGAGCGCCTACGAATCTCTGTACACTATCTTAAAATTATTCCCTCTTACCCAGAGTAGTCAGTCACTGAAGTCAGTTTTAAAAATATCCCGGAAAAAGTATTCGGCTCCTTGTAAAACACAGCCTCCTAAACCGCCCAAAAATTTGTATTTTGAGCCAGAGCTTCCAATGCTAAAATGCCAGCTGTTTCGAGAAACAGGAGTGCGCCTTTCTAGCTAGAACATCACTGACTTTGATTGGCTCATTTGTAAAACATTTGCTGATTAATGACTCCGTGCTTAGATGATATCTACTGTGCGAATTTTTATTTGTTGCCATTTTGAGGGAGGCACTGTTAAGTTCTCGCGAAAACTTAAGAAAAACGATTTTGCAGCTATTTAAGGTCTATTTTACTACGAAATTTGAAAGGCAGCCCTGGTTCAAGTAAAGTTTAAAGTACATCCGTTTTTAGATAAAAGCACTCACTGTGAAATATGACTGCTTGCATAATATTTGACCTCTTCCACTATTCATGTTGATGAAAGTAAGTTACATGAATTGATGAATATTCACCTATTCGGCTTCTGTTTATCGACATTTGTGGCAAAACAAACACAGCGATCTCGGTGTCCTTTAATTTATTTTCAGCGTTTATTTAAGACCTGTTTCAGATCTCATCGATGTAAAAGCTCTCTCGCCTCCGGCAAACAAATGTCTTTTGCGTAACGGTTGCCGAGCAACGACTCCCTGAATGTAGCCACCTTAAAATAAACTCAACTCAACTCATGTTTGAAAATATTTTCAAAAGTTAGGGAAACGCATTATTAAAAAGGATTGAAAATATTAGAGTATGGACAACAAAAGGGAAATTCGTTTTTGTATATATTACACAAGTTTTGAGTTACACCTGGGTCCATGCTAAGATTCTACAAATTGTATCGTTTACAGTGAGCATTGTTCCGTAATATGTTGAGCAAAGAAAGCAAAAAAATTAAAATTCTTCCTTTAGACGAAGTCGTTTGAGATACGTGAACGTCGAAAAAGTTCTTGTTTCTTAAAAGTAACTGTACTACGCTGTTTGCTCTTAATTCGTTTTTAAAACGAAATATTGTTATTTACGAATACAGATTCAAGATGCTCGATTTAATTTTCCATCTTGGTTGTAGGTTAAGGTGGCAAACTCATTTCTGTTCGGCAGTGAATATATTCGCGTTACACTATCGCGTGAAAACATTTCCAAGTTCAGAAATCTTCACGTCGTCGTTACTCACTCACTAGCTAACACGTAATTTTTAGCAAGGCAGAGAGGATATTAGATAACAAGAATGGCCATCTGGTCCTGTCGAGTGTTTTTAAATATTCGCGCTTTAACAGCAAAATGAAAATCGACAGAAACACTCTTTAAAATGACAAGTTTGTTTTCTTTCCGTCGATTCAGGCTTTTGTAAGTTTACTGGTCTGTCTAAAATCATGCCAAAGAGCGGTAATACACACGCTTCAACTTTGCAGGTGAGACGCAATGCGTACACTATAAAAAAAGGTATCATGAAACGCTACCACAAGCAATCCCTTCAAAAGAGCAATGACACCTAAATTTTTTATAAGCTATTCTTGCGATCAAGAAGCACATATGATAGAGTCGTAATCTTGCATTTAAACATTTTTAACTGGAAGTAGTTTCAGACCACCCTTAAGTAAAAGGAATTAGTTAGGAAAATGAGCCTTTTTGTAGTTCGCAGAAGCGTTCAGCGGAGAGTCAACGTTCTCAGCATTATCGCATCAGATCAATAAAATTATTAGACAGTGGTCGTCAGTGTTGAAACGAAAGACTTATCGTTCTAACAGAATACTACACTTAATGGTGCTTCTGTACGTGACATGAGGATTACGTTAACAGCAAACTTTTCACAAAGCAAAACTTACCGAAACCGTAATGGAAAAATACTATCATTCCTTTGTGGCACAGAATTGTTCCAGTTGTTTTTCTCTTCACACGGAGATTCAGAAGTAGTTTGTTTTAACATGTAGTGAGCCACGTTACCCTCCGGCTTTGTGTGATCAAAATTCAATTATTCAAACTGGTCTCTGTTGTGTTTTACTGCTCTACGTAAATACAACTATTCGTCAATGTGGCGACAGCTGGAAACTCGGGTGGAAAACGAACTGGGGAGGTTTTCTGACCAATGGAAACAACGCTTTGATTAATGGCCGTTTTCAATTAGCAAACAGCACGTCTTTAAAATGAACATATCATGAAGGTGTTTTGCACTCGACAACTTCCCACCATTATGACACAGCCTCTCACAGCAAGAAGCAAAGTGGTAGAAATTTTCTTTTATTCTGAGCACCCTGAACTCAACGTCATTTTCTATTTTTTTAACACGACTGTCTGCCGGCGACAGCGATACCTACTTTCCAAACGTCACTCTATAAGTCACCATATACAAAGAGAATCCGGCAAGTTTTTGAGTAACGGTTGTAATACCTTCATAGCCCCTAGAAGTTATCTGTCAGTGGTAAAAAACGAAAAACACAAATTCGAGCGATAAAAAATTTCCACTTGTCTTTGAATGACAAGCTAAACATAAAAAATGCATAACAAATTTCCACTTGTCTTTGAATGACAAGCTAAACATAAAAAATGTTCGCCGCTCTACGATCTAATTTTATTCGCAAGATGTTATGGCCGACTCATCTTACTTCTCACTCATATCGCTGAATTTAAATGCATTAGGCTTCGACACCTGCGCTTATTGAAATGACTTACTCAAAATTATGAACAGTTCAGAGTCAAATTAGCCCATTTTAGTGAGTAATATTATTAAAACACGTCATTTGAATTTTCTTTCAAAACATTGGCCAATTACAGCAAGGGTTTTAATGCTGAGGGGAACTGGACAGTTCACTGACCAATGAGATTTAAGAAACTGATTTTAAAAGGCCTCTTTTGATAAGTCTCCTATCAAGAAAGAACATTTACAAATCTACTGCTGGAAATAAATTTGCCTGTTTTGGGTAACAAAACAGGCAAACTTTCATGAAGTTCGCACAATTAATGATGTCGATCAGACCTGGCGATTGCATGCTGACGTAATAAAGGTCTTCAGAGCAGCCTGGGATATCCCCTGTATTTCACAAAGTTGATATTCTATCATAAAGGGAATTTGAATCAAATTAACAAATAGATGCATGTTGCCGTGCGTCCCTTCAGCGATAGATCTCGGATGACGTCATAATGCGGTAACAACAACAGAGTGGCACGCAATGTATGCAAATGTGTTCTGACCACATTTCGACGTCTTCTTTGATCAGTTATTGTACAGACACCTAATAACATGGAATCGATTTGTTTTCTATGATAAAAATGCAAACTGCTGCTCATGTCGACGTCGTACAAACGTACTGTCGTTTTTCCTCCATTAGAACATAAGTAAGAATTTATCATTTAGTCATTCCATCGCTCCCGTAGTTATATGTTACATAATGGTTTACAAAGAAAGACTATATCGCTAAGTCTAAGATAGAAATAAGCAAAACAACCTCGTTCCCTGAGCCTTTTCCCGCCCCACCCCTAACTAAGAGAAAAGGTCCTGGGAACGAAGTTGATAAGCACAAGTAAGACGTTTAAGATTTGAGTGCGTGACGCTCTCTAATCTTCCCAACCTCCCTCGTGTTTAGAGGAGGCCGGGCATCTAATTTATCTTTCTATTATCACCCCTGAATCACACTTCCGGGTCACAAAAACAAAGGGAAGGATCACCAGCTGAAGAAGCTGTTGATTATTAAACAAATTCTCCTTGTAGAGTAGAAAAGTATGGAGAATATGCATGCTGATGTTAGAGTGTTTGGGTTAGAGCAGGAAAAAGTCGTCTATTGCTTAAATAGTTCTCAATGAAAACAAAATTGACCTGTTTTCATCTGTCTTTCATCTTTTCATCCGGCAGGATTATTGTGTTTTTATAGAAATGAAAGAGAAACTTGAAAAACTAAACTGAACAGTCTGGAAGAAATACTAGACAAACAACAAAAGACGTTGCCATTATGCCTAAGGAAATTACTTCCATAAATAAAATTCCCTTGGTAGAAACATACGCTAACCGATTTGGGTTCGTACAACCAATCAGTTTTTTCTTCCCTTATCTGCTCACGCAGTTGGAAGAAATTTCAACTGAAAATCACAAGAAATCCGGGAAGCAGTAGTTTTACTTCGGCTCGCTCTGTGATTGGTCAAAAAATTTCGCGCCACTCTCTCAATCAATCAAAATGAAAAAACCAAAACCACCTGCGTCTTATTCACTCGATCATTTTTCTCGCCCTTAAGGCCACTGATATGTTTTTATTATCTTTGTAATATTTACTTCTATAACTTTAAAAGCACTGAATTAAAACTTTCCAATTTTATGCGTAACAGTGTGCTTGGAAATATTTTACGTCGAAAGATTTACTCTTGGTATTGAATTAATCTCTTTTCTTTGACTTGCAATTACAGTAGCATAAAATTATCATCAATAAATGCAGTTTTGCTGTAGCCTTGAATTCGGTCATTTTTTCCTACATTATTACAACAAAACTGTAAAGAAAGAAAAATAAAAAAACTAAACCCACAATCAAGATCTCTAGGGTTGTTACAACTTTTAAACACGGAAGGTTAGCCCATTTCACTTTTGATTGGTTTATTACCGCGTTCTGATGTTACTATGAGTCTTGAAAATTGCAAACAGTTTTAATTGCTACTTTTAGTTATTGTAGTACGAAGCAGTCAAGCCAAAATAATTATCCTTTCTCTGAAGTATTGACGCTAGTCATTTATGTGAAGGTGTAGTCTGATCGTCCGGGTGAGTGTAGTCCTGAGAAGGACTGTTGTCGGTGGCAGTGACTGACGTTTCGACAACCTGTGCGGAAGTCATCATCAGAGTCAAGTGTGAGTATGTTTTTGAAAATCATTCGTCGCTTTGGAGAGACGCGCACTAGCTTGTTTCCTTTTCTTTTAAATTTTTACTCGTGCGACGGACTTTGCTGAGGCGCAGGAACTGCGCTTGGTCTATAAAATATCCAATTAAGCTAAAATAAAATATGAATACTGCTAATTACCTTGCCGTTGTGAGTCGTTTACTGGAAAATTGCATGCAATGAGGCATATCCTAGACAACAAGGCTACACACGTGATCTTGATTCTCACTAGATTTGGATAGCATCCCATCAACTTTCTGTGCCAAATTAGATAACGATAAAACGTGTACTCAACAAACTCATCATCAGAGTCAAGTGAGTGATTGTTGTCAATCACTCACTTGACTCTGATGATGACTTCCGCACAGGTTGTCGAAACGTCAGTCACTGCCACCGACAACAGTCCTTCTCAGGACTACACTCACCCGGACGATCAGACTACACCTTCACATGTTACCCCCGGGTTCAAACCATTTACTGCGCTAGTCATTTAATTTGTCATCCGCTTCGGATAAAAAGTCCAACCAGTCTTCACGCCCTCAGATGTTCTCAGTGCTGATATTTTGGCTGTTATTGAATATGTTCTTGACAGTTGCTGATATAAATTAACAACTCAAAGTAATTTTCTGAGAGAAAGACTTATAAGGGCATATGAAAGATAAAAAAAAATGATATAGACTACCTCGGTTATAACAAAAGAGGATAAACACATGGACTTTGCATTACAAATGATTAGAAATAATTGTGGGTTGGCGTCTAAACTAGTACCACAGCTGTTGTTCTCATCTTCTTTATCCAATTTTATTGCATATTTTCCAAACATAATCAGGCAAATTCAGCACTTTTTACAAATATTTTTTAATTACGGTTGGGTAACTTAAATAATTTTTTTCCATCAAAAATTGATGCACGAAATTATCTTCACGGGGAAATTGAGATTTTCTGCCAGATTATAAAAGTTAGGTCAGAAAAAAACTCAGGCTCCAACAGGCTATTTGCTTATCCGTCACTCATTTAAAATTGATGATCAAAGCGAACAAATGTTTTTTCTAAACTAAGTCGCTCAAATACTGTGCCCTTTGAAATTGTAGATTTAGTGAGAAGTGTTAGAAGCGCCATGGTTCATCGTTATTGGGCATTTTCCTGCGATGGTTGTAGTTTGGGCAGGTTTAAATCAGTCCTTGTGTCACAAATTTCCTTGACACAAAACAACATCAGATAAAAACCAAGCCTCTTGTTCGAGATTCTCTTCCTATTTTATGTTATTCCAATATTTAAATTTCTATTCTATGAATATATTTCGAGTCGTCCGATGTATAACTAACATCTTATTTAAAGAACGTAAGTTGTGTTCTATCAGTTTTCAGTTTGAAAAGCATACAGCACTGGTGACTGGTCTATCGGCGACCCTTAAATAAGCAGTTTTAGTTAAAGATTTGATACGTACCTTTCTAGTGAAATTTTAAGATCCAGGCACGACAATACCGACGGTTCTTGAGGCAGATTTCATATCAGTATTCATTTGGCATGTTCCACGATTTTTTTTCATTAGCCATGTATACACTCATCTGCTTTCAATGAAAAAAAAAAAACAAGAAGGATATGGAATAGAAGGACCCAGAATACCTTTAATTACCAAAACATTAATAGGGTTTTTTTTTTTTTTTTACTTTCAACATCAGCCATGACTAATTAAAATAACTCTAAAGACTATTGACTTAATAGAACTCCATTTGGGTTAACCTACGGAAATGATAAAAGGTGACTTTTTCTAATAACGATCGGCAAGCTCGAGTTGGGAAAATTTAGATGATGAATATTTCATTTTGAAACTACAAAGAGAATATATTCAACGTAAAAGTCATGTCGTAAGGCTCCCAAACACCTCATTTTTAAAGCTGCTTCTTTTAAAATAATTATGAGTCGAGTGAGTTAATCATTTTTGTTTTCTCAAGGAGTGCTGTCTCTTTCTGTCAATAAATCATTATGTAATAACACTTAAATCGAGCTCGAGCATGTTTCCCGTCAATAAAATATGTATATCTTCTCTATGCCTACTAATTAATTTTTTAGAATTTGCTTTTTCTGGTAATTTTTCGCTGTACGGACGATGAAGTGGGGTTGGTATACCATTACTTTTAAAACTGAATTTTTAGAGGCTCGCATCTACAAATTGACTAACAAAAAGATTAACTTTCTAACAGAGAAAATGAAGAATTGGAATAGTAATTAAAAAAGTACTTAAAATGAATTGACAAGGTAATGTAGGAGAGAAAGGTAAAGTATTTTAAATACCGGCAGCGTTTCGACCACACTTTTTTTTCAAGCTGACTTGATTATAGTTACCAGAACAGGTTATGATCGCCGTACGTTAGCGGTTTACTCTCCCGGTTTAAATTTGGTCTCTGTAAAGAGCTGACACTGATCTTCATTATCTGTACGTTGAAAGAGACAAAAACTCATCACATTTTCTCTTGTCGGATAATAAATTCCTCCCTTCACCCTATCAGATCAAAGAGTGACTAACCAACATGAAGCAATTTGCAATTTTGATTATTAATAAGCCAAGAAGTGAAGACGGTCGGTTTGTTCTTTAGTAGCCATGAGAGGTACCTGAGAGGGGCTTTCAGTGGCGGATCCAGAACGGGGGGGGAGGGGAGATTGGACAGCATCAGTCCTTGCCTTCTCAAGTATTCAGCGAGTGAAATCTCCCTCTCCGCTATATTTTATCAATCTGTCCTTTGAGAGTGTTACATTTTCATTTTTATGGAAATGTGCTTAAAGGAGCACTCTTACGAAACCGCCCTATAATTTGAAAACCCAAAAAATTCAGTTATTTCATTATAATATGAATTTTTAGCGATTAATTAAGCCTTTGCAATAGTAATTTTAGTTGAAAGTCAATTCTAGGGCGAGATTTTACGATTTGAAAACCGTTCCGCCATTAATTTTCGTAATCACGGCCAACTTATTCTCGGTCAGCGGTCACTCCCATTGTGACGTAGATTACTCAAAACACTGTTGGCGTCATTTTATATTAAAACGGAAACCTCGTGAAATTTAGTGAAATAGTCTTATAGGTAAATGGTAAAGTCTGTTTACGAGCGTAGTGACCCATCAGGCCGGTGCTTAACTCCGGTTTCTGTAGCATGAAGCGACTAGGAGATTTCTACTCCCTTGGATGGGATGCCAGTCCATCGCAGGGTTACCCCCAGCATTAAATTTCCGGTACTCATTTATACACCTGGGTGGAGAGAGGCTCTGTGAGAGTAAAGTGTCTTGCCTAAGAACAACACAATGTCCCGGCCGGGGCTCGAACCCGGACCACTCGATCCGGAGTCGAGCGCACCAACGTGACCTCTTGAAATTTAGTGAAATAGTCTTAGTGTTAGTGTTATAAAAGCAATACATACGATCAAAATACTGTTTTTGAAAATTAGCCACGAGCACAGCCCGTCAAATGAGTAATCTACGTCACGCTCCAAACTCGCGCCAGTCTTCTTGAGTCTGGCAAGTAATTACGAAAATTAATGGCGGAACGGTTTGCAAATCGTAATTTCTCGCCCTAGAATTGACTTTCAACTAAAATTACTATTGAAAAGGCTTTATTAATCGATAAAAATTCGTATTATAAGGAAATAACTGAATTTTTCGGGTTTTCAAATTATAGGGCGGTTTCGTAAGAGTGCTTCTTTAAGTGACAGCTTTCTTTAAGCAAGGTGATAGAGGCTGATGCAGAAACGTCCGGGAAAGGGAACGAGGATACTTTCAAGAAAGAGGCTGATGGATAGACGTACATGTCCCGATTATGTTCGTTTGAATGCTGGAAAGTTGCTCACTGGAATGCCAAAAAGTTGCTACACAGATTTCTTGATATTTTGAAAAATTTTACTTTTCGTTCTTTGCTATAATCCTTGATACCAGTCATAATTAACGAGTTGCTTGAAAATATGGGAGAAATTTAAGGATATTCATAGTTCTAACGGAACGAAACACATGGTTCATTAGGCGTCTTATCGATTGAAACTGTCAAGTCGGTGACAGGTTATGTGTTCAAAACTGAGGTTGGTAAACATTCAAGAAATTTACATAATTTGAAGTTTTCTATGAAATCGTTAACTTTTTCGTACTTGATATGTGTTCTTAACCTATAATTGTGCAGAAATTGCTCAGAAATACAAACATTTCTCGAGGTTGCTGGAGAAGTTGCTTCAAACGCCAAAAGTTTTTCAATAGCCTCTGAGCACAATCGGGACAGGCTGGATGGATATAACTGCTGAATGGGGTCCCATTTTCTCATTCACTATCATGGGGTTGTATTTTCAATAGAGATACTAGAATGGGGTCGCACATTTTCAGGATTTTGGGGATAAAATTATTCTGTAAGAAGAGATTTAAAAATGGGAAAATTTGTGGTTAAAAAGGTGTTTCATTTCCCCCAAAATAGCTAAGATGGGGTCTATAATTGGCCAAGGAATACGTTACAATAGAGTAGATGTCCTGAGAGCCAGCGGCACATGCCCCGTGAAAAAATTGACCCAAGTGATCCTCCTCTATTCCCCCGCGCCGAGACGAGACCGAGACGATGATAGCCAGTGCACACGCTGTTTACGCACCACAAGTTTTGGTTACCTAATGTTACCATGCCAATATCCGAAGTCCAGTTTTCAACATGGAAGACAATCTTGGTATGGCCAGGCCACCTTTCGGGATCTCAAGACGGGGCGAGTAGTAAATTTCAAGGCAAACTTCTCCATTAGGTGACTTAATAATGTGTACAAAGCTCTTACCTTCTTTTGGCAAATATCACAGGCATCTGTGAAGAATGGATGGCATTTGCCACCTTTTTGTCAAAGGTTTGTGACACCTTTCCCTTGGATCAAAGTTTGATGTCAAAGCAACACAAAGCTGGCCAGCTTTATCAAACGAATGACAGTTCAAGGTTCCTCTTGGATTTCCCCAAGAAATTTATGTTTGGGTATACCACTGCTGAACGCTATTGAGTCAGAGATCAACTGCGTAATGCATTTTTTTTCGGGACACGGATAAACTAAACGGCAAGTCTAACTTGATGTATGTGATGAATGAAAGGTAAAAATGCAGTTGATTAGGATCGCAACTTAATCCTTAATTTCAAAGCATTTGGTGCCTACTCGCAACCAACATCTCTTTCAATTCTTCTTCTTTCTACGTATTTTGTCTCGCATTGGCAGCTACATTTTTTTACATCTTGTGAGTCAAACCAATCAAATTTCTAAAGTTGATCAGTGACTTATTAATAACAAATTGACAGCCTCTGCAACCTGATAGAAATTTGAATTCTTTACCTCGCCCTTGAGTATGTTTTTGAAAATCATTCGTCGCTTTGGAGAGACGCGCACTAGCTTGTTTCCTTTTCTTTTAAATTTTTAATCGTGCGACGGACTTTGCTGAGGCGCAGGAACTGCGCTTGGTCTATAAAATATCCAATTAAGCTAAAATAAAATATGAATACTGCTAATTACCTTGCCGTTGTGAGTCGTTTACTGGAAAATTGCATGCAATGAGGCATATCCTAGACAACAAGGCTACACACGTGATCTTGATTCTCACTAGATTTGGATAGCATCCCATCAACTTTCTGTGCCAAATTAGATAACGATAAAACGTGTACTCAACAAACCATATCAACAATCTTTCTTGTAAAGCTATTGGCAGCTATATAGATTGGGAAGTTTTCAAGGTGAGTGTGGTTAATTCTCTTGACAGCTAACAACATCAGAGCACAATTTTCAAGACTCGGTGAATTTCATTTTATTGCCAATGTCTAATCGTCTGTCCTTATTTTCAAATTTCACGATGTTATAAACAGAGCAGAAAACTTGAATCATACACAAACTTATCTGAATTTCAACCCGTCCAGTTGACGTTAATATTTCTATTCGAATTCAGTTTAAAAATCGCTCCCCCATTCGGTCCAAATGATCTGCAAAGCTTTCGAATCAACTACTCCCCACCATTCAATTCGATTCAATAAACAGATATCTTGCGAGAACATTCTACAGTCTATGCAAATGAACATTAAATTCAAATTTGTATTTTTGCTTAAATAGTCGGCATTGCATAAAAGCATTTAAAAGAAATTCTTAGAAAAATGAGAATGATTAATCCATCTTGGCTTAAGTAACACGTTTGGGTTTTTATAAAGATATGATAAACTAATAAACATGAATAACATCATGGATATACACGGTGTCGGAAATGTTCGGTGAAAATCACCTCTTTCAATGGAAACCAAAAATCGCTAAAGTTTGCCCATAAATTTCTGATTTTATATCGAGAACAACCTGATAACTTGTTTTTTTTATGATGAGAAAGACACTTGATAATTTTACTGGTAACGCTTCCAAATAAAAGGCTTTGTTAACAATACGGATCTGATTTGAATAAGCACCACTGATCTGAATATCTCTAAAATACCTTAAGCAGTACAGTACTGATACAAGCCAATATTTTTTTTGGCGGTTTATCTTTAATCTCTTTTTTTCAACTGATCAAAGCTACGGACAATGGCATCAGGCTAGAATTTTCTTATTCAAGAAAGCACAGAACCATCTTCGAAGGAGAATATGGAAATTGTCTCACTTGTCTACAGTTTTGACTGAAAGCTTCTGGTTAAATATGCCTGTACTTTATACCGCAACCTGTTAGCTTCCGCTAGTATTTTTATATCAAGATGGGATACAATGAAAGCTGCTGAAAAAAAAAATTCAATCAAAAGGGATTGTATCGTTGCTCGTCATCTTTTCGAAAATTTTTCTTCAGTTTTCGAAGGAAATCTGTCGCCATATGCTTTACTGCCACTTCATTAGTGCGAATGGTTCATGGAATAACCAGCTGGGGTTCATAAAGCAACTATGCATGCGGTTTTTACAGCAATTTTTTTTTCACCCACGTAAATTTAAAAAAACTCAACCTTTGCGTGTCAGTTTTCCAGTGATATTTTCCAACACCGTCAAAATGGCTTGGTAATGCGCCAACATTTTAATTTATTCATTATTCATTAATTAGTTTAAAAGAAACTCTTCCATGTAATAAAATACAATACAATACAATTTTTTGTAAAGTTTGAATTCATAAACTGAGTTGCGCAAAATGCATCACAAGTGACGAACAAAGGGTGCAGCAAGTTAAAAAAATTTGGAAGGCGTAAACCTTTTTCACAATCCTTACCAAACGGCTTGACTGCACATATTGGCCATGGAAATTTACCCAAAGCTATGGATGCAAGGTAAAATCTCTCCTTGTACCTAAATTAGGATGTTTTGATGATTTACATAGGCATGATCCGTTCACGGGCAAGTAATATTTATACCTGACGGTTATTAACAGATTATAATTCTTCCCTTTGGCTTTGTTTCTCTTTTCGCGTGTGTTCTCCCAAACAAGTGCGCACGCAATGACCCACAGGTGTGTGAAATGGAATATTTCTAATATACAATCTCGAATCTCACAACATAAAAGTACGCACTTAGTGAGGTTAACGCACCAAACACCCACTGCACGTCCATTGCGCACTTAGATGTGTGCTAATGGAAATTGTATCTTAATGTGTTGTTATCTCACGTACAAATACATTAGTATTCACAATGTGACACAATCACGGAAACAAGAAGTTATCACTCATGTGTAACTTAAAGGAAAAATCGTTCTACTCAGTGCCATCTCTGGTAATAAATGTGAGCCATTGTGTTGACTACAAAACTACACGTAAAGATTGCCTTTCAAAGATTTTGATGGGTACTCAAAGTTCTGTCTTTTTTGAAGTCTTAGACTAAGTCATATTCTGATTTCAAATGATCCTCATGTCGCAAATATTTTATTGCCTTCAAAAGTAACATTCATCTCAAGTTCTGTTAGATATACGTGAACCTTTTAGAATAACAGACACTTATAGGGACAAACAATGTCCTCCATAATGACATATTGTCTCCGTAAGAAATGAGATTTTGAAGCAGTTATCACGTGTAAAAGGGTGGCCTAAAAGCTATTTACCAGACTCTTGTGGTCAAAATATGATGTTGGTTTTACATCGAGAACAATGCGTTGTATCTTGAATACAACAACGTTGTAATGAAGTCTTTGAAATTTCAACAATACGTAATCTGACTGCTCATCGGCTTTTCCTCCCAAGAGCACTGTGTTACCATTTCTGAACCAACAAACGTGCACATGATAGTCCAAATTACTCTCTGAGATGTTTATTTTTGCTTGATATATTTCTTTGTATCCAACACTTCTGCAGTGATAGGTATCATTTACATTTAAATAAGTTTTGTGTTACAAAATTAATACTGCGTCGCCCGCTCTGTTGCCTTCATTACAGCAGCTGGAGGCATAGTCATTATGTATGGATGACATTTTAATAGGAAATCAATGTTATTTCAGTTTAGAATTGCCGGCCGGGATATAGATAAGACCTACACCAAGCTACAATGTATATAATTATTACAGGAAAAAGTATATTTAACATCACGATTCACCTAGTGATGCACGATCCTTAGTGAAATCGTCCCAGAGCAGAGCACAGAAATTAGAAGGTACGCAACCTATTTAGTTAGTGCGCTTTTGTTTTTTCTCTGATTAAGCTCAACTATATAATGAAAATTACAATATTTTTTTAACAGGATAGAGGAAAGCTTTCTAGGGAACAATCTTGTTAAGTTCTCATGGCTCAACTTTTATGAGAGAATTGGCAGTGCGTTTGTAGAAGTTACACCGATGCGTCATTAAGGTCGCTAATTATTTTAGGATCAGAAAACCAGTATTATTTGAGGAGGTGAAAATGTCATCAGCTATCTTTATTTTATTCTTACGAAGCTTTTTCATCAAAAAGACGCAGGCCTTCGCATACAGTTGTCATTTTATACATCCCCTATTTTTGAAGAAATATTTACAATTTATGAAGATAATATATCAAAAAGCAAACTTTCATTGCTCTCCAATCAGTTTCAAAAATTAAAATTAATGCGTGAGGCATGTTGAAGTATAAAGTGTGTTTTTAAAAAGAATGGTCACATAATCACAGGCGTTTGAAGGTGCCAATGAGTCCTTTGGTAACAACCTAACTTCTTCCTTATCTCTTGTAAGTAACTTCCTGCTGGTATACATTGGTTTGTTCTTTGCCCAATATCATTAGTCTTTCTTATGGCCATTATTATGGAGATAACATGTGGGCTTGCTTATTTTTGCCCTCGGCAAGGCAACTGCGAGTACATGCACCGGCGTCATCTGTTCGCATTAATTTAAACTTTTATTCCGGAAATATGACCAACTTTAAGGCTTTGTAAAGAAAAATGAAAAATTGTCGCTTCCTTTTTTGCGCGGAAATTGGTTGTTTATTTTATATGAGGGGCTAAGCCCAAGACATCAGTAAACATCGAATTTTAATGGAACCTTCATGGTCTTCTTCCACAATGACTTACACTTTAGGCTTGTTTACCATGAGCCTTGGGCCATACTGATTTTTGTTGTATTTGAGGTTTCACAAAGAGGGCCGCCCTATTTGAGAACGATTATTAGCATTTCAACAGCCCACTTATTATTCACGGGACAGCTTTCAGAGCCAAACCAAATAGTCTTTAGTACTGAGCAACAGTACTACAACTTAGGGCCGAGTTGGCTTGCATTTCTTTTGCTTGCTTAGTTTATTGTCCACTTTCTGCAACAACTAACTTTGACCGTAGAATAAAGGGGGTAAGTTTCTAAAGAAACTGTGCGGGCGCTACGTCGGTGGGAGTAACAAGATAATATATATCTTATTAACCAAGCGCGAGGGCCGTACTGGGAGAATATCGGCCAGAGGTCCGTACAAAAAAGACCGAGGGCCGATATTCTTCCAGTACGGTCCCGGGCAAGCCTGGTTAATAAGAGATTTATTATACGACTGAAGTTCAAAGGGACACAAGTGCGATATCATTCGGGACCATTCGGGACAGTGCCCGGTCCAATACTTGAGAATATTGGACCGGCAATAGAGCATTTTGATTGGTTGATTTTAGTTATTGGCCCTCTGACTGCCCGAGTCGTGTAATAATTTGGTTTTATTAACTGAGTTGATAATGTAAATTGGCCACCGTAAAGAGTTTCGAAGCTGACGTTTCAAGCGTTAGCCCTTCTTCAGAGCAAAGTGCTAAGGGCTCTGATGAAGGCTGACGCTCAAAAGTTAGCTTTGAAACTCTTTACGATGGCCAATTATATTGTCAACTCAGTCCATAAAACTGAAATAACTTTAACCGTAGAAGGGCTTCCTATAGACTCAACACAGGTAGATGTATTGCAGTAATAAACGAAAGTGGACTATTTGTTTTGTCTCAGTAGTTCGCTTCAGGCTTAAAAGATGGGAATGATCCCAGGCCAGATGAGCCATTCAGCTCTTTTGCTGACTCATCTTATGTACTTTTACCTTCAGGGACAAAAACACATAAGGTTGCCGTAGAAAAATATCTATGAAAAAAAGTTCTAATTGATCAACAAACTTGTACAATCTTAAAGGTAATATATATTGACTCTCATTAAGACAAGGTTAAAGAAAGAAATTGTATCTTTCAAATAGGCCAAAGCTAAGGTGGTTCGGTAAAGGTCATTTCTTGGTTCCAAGTTTTTCTTGGGTCTTTTACTGAAGTCGAAATTGTTCGTCTTCCTTGAATGCTTCGATGGATATGAATAAATGCTGCTAGAGATGTTCATATGAGAAGAACCTCTTGCCCGGGATTTGTTATTTGTTGATTCTCCTAGGATCTTAAGAAAGGGATCTTGAAATGAATTAATTGGGGTGGACTTCAACTCAAAAAAGAGCCTGCACGAGAGACTCTGTATGTTAGTTTAAACATATTTAAAAAAGGATATCCCTGAAATTCAACCTATGGAGCAAGATCTAGAAGCAGAGGTAGCCAAGAGATACCAACAAATTGATTGCACATTTTTCAATTTTTCCTAACAGATCGGACTAGAGACGATCGTCCTCCAGATGCTAACAGTCTTAGCTGACAGTCTACGCAATGCTCACGGGGTACAAAATTACTTCAATGAAGAAATTTGTCCCCCTTTTGGCGTTCATTTCCTATGTCAAAGGTATGTCTTCACCCATGGTCCACCGTTTCATGGTTATTTTCTTTTAATTGGGTATTTTAGTTTTTACAAGACTACCACACATGCATCAAAACAAAGAATTTCCTTTAGAATACTGTCATGGAAACGTAAGGCAAATTGATCTGTTGGATTTTAAAATTGGATCGCAAGTTGATTTGCAAATGACTCATTTGCAACTCAACTTCCGACCCAGTTTGGTTTAAAACAAAACAAAACTTTCGCTGGTTCTTCCCACATTTTTTATTAAACTCTCGGTATGACGTTTGTGCCATAACATTTATTGCCTCCTAAAATCAAAGGTCATTTTCAGGCTATTGCTCCCCTTTTTCCCTGATAAAGCCTTTTTGTGTGGGCAACATGTTAGTGTGGGAGACGTGATGGCCTTATATTTATATAATGCGCTGAACTCCGACTCGAGAGGTCTGGGTTCGAGACCAGGCCAGGTCAATTCGTTGTGCTCTTGGATAAAACACTTAACTCTGATAGTGCCTCTCTCCATGCAGGAGTAAATACGGGTACCCGTGAATTTCCAGAAAATCCCCATGAGATGCTAGGGGCAATCTTGCAATGGACCAGCATCCTTTTCTTGGCGGGAGCAATACTCCCCGTCTTGCTAAGGAAACCGGGATATGCTCCGGATGAGTGGGCACTGGCACGAGTTCAGACTGTACCTTTTTCCATCATATAAGTGCCCATTGCTACTTATCATCCAAAGTTTTCTGTTTTCTTTTCACAAGGCGCCGTCAAATCTAACCAGACGCAACTCTACATAGACCTATTTCAAAATTACAACAAATACAACCATCCCACTCTCAGAGGGGCTGATCCTGTCAAAGTGGTGTTTGATTTCCAACTCATTCGCATAATCGATGTGGTAGGTAACTTTTGTCGTGTAAAACGCTTCCACCACAAAATAAGTACTATATTTCACTACTCAACCCGGCATTTATAATTTTTTTCTTAACCACGAGGTCGCGTAAAATCAAATGACCCTAACGTCACTAATTCAAAGGCACGCACTGCGTGCAGACAAATAAAAAGTATGTAAACAAAAAAAACAAACAAAATATCAATGTTCAGTCGCGACAAATTTTCCTCTTCGTTTAAGGTAAATGAGGACTGACTGTTGGCTTGGGTCAGTGAACTCAAAATATGACAACGAGAGCGTAGCACAATTCTATCACATAAAATCTTTAAATCGATGATTTTTTTTAGAGTGCCAAAGACCAGTTCATCAAGCCTTATGCCTGGGTAAACCAGGTGAGTAAACTTAATTCCTAAGATTGAAGAAATTCTCAGTTGATTGTCAAGAGTAATTCGAGATTACATTGGTTTTGCTATTCTCCTCAGTGTGATTCCCCTGATCCTCCCAGACAATCAGATCATTGTGACAAAAATAAAACTCATCAAGACATGGCCTCTCACTTTTTGCCGCGGCCGCGCTTCAGACAATTTGATGTTTTTGTTTTGAGTTTCCATTAGGTCCTTGTTAGATTTCTTTTGATCCGTTCGGCGGTTTTGATTGATTCTACTTTGATTTAATTAACGACTAGCTCAAATGAATTTTTCCATGAATCCTATTTTAAGCTGCCACTACATTCCTTTTTCGATCAGTTTTCCCTTTAGTATTTATTTAACCGCATCCCTTAGTTTCACCAGACGAAGTCCAGCATTTAAATATCAAGTTTCTTTGTAATTAATACTTTCTCCATGGTGGCTTCTCGTGAGCGACCGATTGCAATTTCTCCATGCATGCCAAAGAAAACAATTTGCTTAATTTAGAAGGTTAATTACTAGATGTGTATGAGAAGTTTTAAATCTCCTTTTTTTCAGTATTGGAATAATCCTCAGCTTAGATGGGATCCCAAAAAGTACAATGGAATCAAAGAAATTCACATACAGCCATCTGATGTATGGGTCCCTGATATCCTTTTGTACAACAAGTAAGTGGAGTTGTTTTATTAAACGAAAATCATCCAATTCCTTTTTGTTTATTTGTTGCTAACAGAAGAATATTTCCTAACACCGAAATATGAAAGAGGGTGAAATTGAAAGAGGTTCATTATCATTGCAATTAATGTTTGAGTCAGATACGCTTGTTTTGAGGATATTGTGAAAACTTGAGTTAATCGTTAGTCCCTTTCTCTCTTTTTCTCTCAGTGTTGATGAAGAAGACCGTTTTGCCGGTGGAAAGTACACTTATAAAACCAACATTGCCCTGAAATACGACGGAAACAGCACATGGCTCAGCCCCGCCATTTTCAAAAGCATTTGTAAAGTAGACGTGACCTATTTCCCGTTCGATGAGCAGGATTGCTCGCTGAAATTTGGCTCCTGGTCCTTCGACAGCTCAAAAGTAGATCTTCACACACACAGTGGAAGTATGTTGAACAACAATTATGTCAAGAACGGAGAATGGAAGTTGACGCTTTTGAAATCTCAGCGAAATAAACAGAAATATCAATGCTGCTCGCACGAATTCATTGATGTTACGATACAAATGCAACTTCAGCGAGAATCACTGGATTACATCCTAAAGTTGATCATTCCATGCTCGCTGATTTCTTCCATGATATTTTTGGGTTTTGTCCTTCCGCCTGAGTCAGGTGAACGAATCGGACTGAGTATCACAGTTCTGTTGGCAATGACTGTTTTTCAGCAACTCAGCTCCGAGCTCATGCCTTCGTATGGATTTCCACTGCTTGGGCAATACTACTTCGCCTGTATGATCGAGATAGGCGCCTCCCTGGTTGTCACTACTCTCATATTAAACTTTTATCACCGTAACAGCCGACGAATGCCAAGAGTTCTAAGAGTTGTGATATTAAAATGGTTGGCTCGAGTTGTTTTCCCAAAAAGGAGTGCCAAAGACTGGGAAGTGATTTCAACAAATGTGGAAGCACCCAATTGCAAGTCAACTGCGAATGGCAACGAAGAAGAGGGCAGCTCTGACAGCGAGCAAGCTTCGCTTTTCGTTGCCGAATCGCTTTTGAAGCACGACGAATCAAAGGTTTATTCCACGTATTCCGATCCGTGGATCCCATTGGAAAAAAAAAATAACTTTGGTTTACCGGCGAACGGCATATCACACTACCAGAATACAAATGGTCGAGCTTACGGCACCATATCGGGAAACAGAACCAGGCATTCCAGGTACAAAAGAAAAACGAGTTTTCCAAACTCCAAAATGGACACTCGAAGAAAGACCTCAAGGAATCATGGTTGCACTCATCACCAGAGCCCTGAGAAAAGAGGCTCGTCCATCGGTGCTACATCCATTTTTTTCGATCTTTTTCAGGATACGGAAGACTCGGAACTTTCTCCACAGATGTTAAAGAATCAAAAGGAGTGGATTAAGGCGGCACGTGTATTGGACAGACTGTTTCTGATTATCTCCATCTTGATTGGTGTAACTACTCTCTTTGGCTTGTTTCTAAAAGCTCCAAGGTTTCATTGAGCGAACTAAACAACGGCTGTTCGTGAAGTGCTTGTGCAGTTTCTAAAAAATAAAAACACGTCACAAAATTGCTTTGCACAGCAAATACTGCATGCTTTCCTTGCACTCAACGAAAGAGAAAAAGGACTTTATCGAGTTTCTTCTGCATCAAGAAAGTAGCTCTTCACTTTGAAAGAAGAAAGAAAGCATTAACTCATTTGCTCGTTCCATTTCAGACTTAAACAAAACAAAGGCGTCCTCTCTTTTGTTATGTTGTCTTTTTTGAATTCTCTTAAATGATATATGAAAAGCATTTGAAATTAACTTCTCTGCGATTCAGTCGCGGATTTGATGCTGCTGCAGGTTCGCGTCCTGCCTTTAAAAGAGTTAGCTCTACGATTCCATCCAGCGAGCAAGGGAATATGCGTGTTTAAGGGAAAGTAAATGAGTCAAAGGGTACCCACTTCTTGCTCGGCGAAATAGAAGTAAGCTTGAATTATTAAGGGAACGTTGAAAAACGGAGACAAATTATGTTGTCTATTGACTGGAAAAGGATGTCAGTTGAGTTTATCACGAATAAAGAGGACTTCCGAGTGACTGATACTCTAAAAGGAAGCCTCCTACTTCCTATTAGCTATATTTAATTTGCATGCAGGTCAGGTCGCCCTGTTGTAATGTTGCTTCAAACCACGTCGCCCCAAAGCTAAGTTACCACTTCCAGTCCCCTGTGAGCGTGATCAAGTCACCCTAGACTAGACTGACTGAAGTCGTTGACCAGTTGTCGGGATGATTCTATCTTTAAAAAAAAAACAACAACATAATTTTGATCGTTACTTGCTGTCATTGTGGTAAAATAATCCCATTGACTTATCGAAATTAGATTTAAAACAGGCTGGTAACTAACATGTAAGCCGCTTAACACCTCGTTCATATGCTGCCCAAAGCTTCTTGTCCACAGTGACGCCCTATGTAAAAGACTCAGTAATAAAATTACATATCCTGTTGAGAAGGGCATCTCCGCTAAGGCCAAAAATCGAACGGGGTCCTTAATCTCATGATGACACCATATCTTTCGAACTTCACTTTTCTCTTGCCATGGCCTTATTGATAGTTATCTGACTCATCAATTCCAATTTAAAAGCCTTTAAATTTCGCCGTTTAAATCTTAAAAAAGGAAAGAAAACCTGTTACTATTCCACACGATTCAAAGGCTCCCAGTTGTCAGTAGTTATGAATTCAACGCAACTCTTCCAGTCAGCGGTAAGAATTACTTTGGACACGCGTGATAAATTTGGCGCGAAACTAGTGGAAAACCAAACATGGCGGACTGAGCAAAGGCCGAGTTCCACTGACAGTTTATTATCTACTCACCTTCATTTACACCGCGTCAGGTGGTCTGTATCTTCTTGAAACACCTAAATATCATAAGAAGCGTGCATATTATAAAAGTTAGCTTCCAGAATTTTATTTCATGCCCACGAGGCTTGCAAAAAAGCAAACAACTCCGATTTGGATAAAATGGTCGTTCCTGAGCAGAAGCGAAATCTTCCCTGGTAAGATGAGAAATGAAGTAGATCGTCGTGTGTCTGTAGGTCCAACTTGTCTCGCTTATTTCCATTCCCTTGATCGATAGTGCTATTTATACAGTGGGTTTTATACCATGAATTAAGAGGGACACTATACTTATGAAGAAATCTTTCAATTTGAGTTAAAGACACTGTTTTTAACTCAGAATTCATATTTTAGTGAGGAATGGAGTTCATTACTCCTGCATCACGTTGTGACAGTCTTTGAAGTTACAACAGAGTTTTGAATATATGCGTTCAATTCAAAATTTCTTTACAGGGTCGAAAAGTACAGACCCAACAGCTTAGAAGATCTAATCTCTCACAGAGATATCATCACAACAAGTAAGCTATCCTCCCTCACGTTGTGACTAGAACCACATGGAAGGCTTTACTGTTACATTTTTAAATAGCTAAGATTTCTGTTTGTGAATATATGAAGGTCATATATGTAAACTGCAGTTAAAGAAATGAGTATTCGTGAGAGCAATCTTCACAGTGATGAACACTACTTGAGCAGTGGTAAAATTAAAGCCTGAAAAAGAATTCAGACCTGTGTGGGATTTGAACCCATGACCTCTGCAATAATGGAGTAGTGTTCTACCAACTGAGCGAACAAGCCAACTGGGAGCTGGTTATTATGTTGGTTCATAATAGAACTGTGAAGTGGTGAGGCAATATTTGCAAATATATGAAGCCATTTTTTCTGTTTCTAAGAAAAATCACTGTCAACATTATGACTTCAACATGGACAAAGTGTGTATTTCATTAAGTATTCCGGTTTTAATCGACACATGCGCGACGAGGGGCTAGAATTCCCAATATATACTGGACACCCTTTAGTGTCCTCACAACTGATTGCAGATTCATCAAAACAAGTTGACTGGCTCTCAATCGCAAACCTGTTCTGATCGCTTGAGCAAAAGGCACAGTTGACGAAAAATGAGATATCGCTCTCAAAAACTGTTGGCTTCAAAGCTGAAGCAGTCAATGAAGGAGTTTGGTGTGCATGCACTGTTAAAGAAGTGAACGATCATTTTGCGATCATGTCCTTTGACGGCTGGAATGCAGAGTGAAATCGCCGCGTCGGGGATCCATGAGAGATCAGGGATGAAACATTCAGTTCATTTCTTTACGTTCGGCTACAAGAACAAAATGGAATTATGCTCTAAATCAGGACAAACGGTACGAGATATCAAAATAAAAAAGACTAGTAAATAAGCACCCCTTACCTACATCAAATTTCCTTCAGTGAACAATGTCAACGCTTTAGGAAGACCACTTTTACCTCTAAACAGCACCAAAGCTTTTGTAAACAAAAAGCTCAAATTATGGTTTGCTTTTATTCAGGCGTGAATTTGCTTAATCTTTCACGGACGAAATCTTTATGAGTTTCAGAGATCAAACCATTTACTAAACTGCTCGTTGAACTGTAACAGGCTTCCACTTAGCAAACAAAGCTTTCCAGATTTAACTTAGTTTGCTCAAATTTCTCGATCTATCCTTAGTTTCTCCAACTGCATCCAAACTGGTTTTCCTAAACAGCTTCCATCAAAGACTCCCAGTGGAACGTGACATAAAATACGTCACGCGTTACAAGGTCACAGAGCTCATACATATGCATGAACCCCACTTTAGTGGGGTTCGCAGAAGTACACACTTTGTCCATGCTGAAGTCGTCATATATTACTTATTATTACAGTAATTACATAATTATTACAATGGGATGGTGGATTAACCCTTTAACTTCTAAAAGTAATTTACCTATAACTTCTCCCTCAATTATCCATCCATTGTCCGGAGAAAAAGTCATGAGAATACTAAAACTTATCCAATAGAATTTGATATCTTGAGCTAACACCAAATTCGTGTAACTAATTTACAAGGAAATGTTTAGTAGCTAGAGAGGAGAATTAACAGTCAGATCTTGGGAGTTGAAATGTTAAAGACTATCACCTTTCAGCAGGCAAAATGTCAGCTTTTTGCCATTGTCTGTTCATTCAAAGATTGTTGTGTAATTTAACGTAAAAAGTAAGATGCATAATTCAGGCTACACTCAGACACGGGTACTGTCAATAAAATTATTTTTCTTTCAACTGTTTGCAGTCAAAAGATTTATTGAGGAAGATCGATTGCCCCATCTTTTATTCTATGGTCCACCTGGAACTGGGAAGACCTCAACTATATTAGCTGTTGCTAAACAGATCTACTCTGCACGAGAGTTTAACTCTATGGTTCTTGAGGTAGGAAAAAGTAATGAAGGAAAATGCTATATATGCTAGAGGTGATCAGTTACTTCTTATAGTTTTTCCAATTTGATATAAAAAACTTTATTTTTTCTCAAACAGTTTCAAGTTGCTATTTTGGTAGACAAGAGCTGTTATGTGAATTACCTGCGGGACTTGAAATTAAAATGTTTTCATTTATATTAATTTTAACAAAATTTGTGGATTGAAATTTATATAATAGGAAACAGGGAGGGTTCATAAAGCTTTCTGTTTTTTAAATCTCAGCAACATGAATAATGCAATCTTCTATTTTCAGCTGAATGCTTCAGATGATAGAGGTATTGGTATTGTTCGAGGGGCCGTCTTAAACTTTGCAAGTACAAGAACAATTTTTAAGTGAGTGAAGTTTTGTAAAGGATATCTATTAATATGTGTTGAATAGTATTAGAAGTTCAATAATCATAGTTAAATTCTTTAGCACCATGACTTGTTCTGTATTGCAGATCTGGTTTTAAAATTGTAATTTTGGATGAAGCAGATGCTATGACTCAGGATGCGCAGAATGCCTTACGAAGAGGTACTACTTGTTAAACCCAGTCATTTGTTTGGTGGATTCTTATCTTGGATTCTTATTTCAGGACGCTTGCCCTCTCAGTTCATTAAGTTGATTACATTGTGGTTATTATTAAACATTTTCATTAGATAATGTAATTATAATTTTGTGTTAGAAAAAGTGTGCAAATTAAAAAGTCTGAAGACTTCACGTGAAAGAAACCAGTAGAATTATGTCGTGTTTTATTATCCAACTACACTTAATAGAGTACAAATAACGTCATAGACGAGTACAAATATCCCGCGTTATTTGTACTCTAGAGTACCGGTTAAACAGGTTTTCTCACATCGCTCAAGCGAAGAATTGGATTGTAGTTACGAAAAGAAAAATGGCGGACAATTTGAATCACATTTCCGACGACGAAGAGTCAGAGTGGCTGGCAAATACAGATCCAAGTTTATTAGATGAATTGAACAAAGAAAAACAGCTAGATGACCAGGAAATTTCTTCATTTATTGAAGAAAATAGAAACAGCAACACGACAGCACGCCAATTCTGTTCCACTTCACATACTTCTGTCATGCACTCCACCTAAATAAACTTCTGCGAAATTCGCCCGCACTGAAATAACAGTTTGGCGTGTTGGATAGTAAATAACTTATTAGACGTTTAGTTGTGTAGTATTGCTGAGTATTTTTACCTGTTATTTGTATTTTGACTCGCCCTATGGGCTTTTCAGAATACGGCACAACTCGTAAAAATACTCAGCGATACTAGGCAACAAAACATCTAATAAGATATATATATTGTAGTTTCATTGTCAGTGGTTTCCCCTTTACATATAATTTGCTTGAGGCAAAGTGGACTGCTTTTACCTTCCATCTGTTGCTAACAGTTCACAATTGGCACCTTTACCCATTCTATTCCCTGAATTTTTTGTGTTCTTCTTTGCTCATTTTCTTTTAAAGCATCAGCATTTTTCTTTCTCCCATGAAGAATTAGCAATTTCCCAAGTAAAAGCTCACCTTTTAAAAGTTGTGAAAAATTTTGGGTGTCTCTGTTTTCGACATTTTGAAGAGAACCATGGTTGTGAAGCAGTTTTTCGGTGAGGAAGACTTGGTCAGTAACAAGCATTACGCATGACCGGAAGTCAGCAAAGATCAATTTGAAGATTTGTTTCATATTGAGCCAGTGGTCTGCAAACTAACAAATTTTGGTGAAAGTCACTCTTGGTTACTTCAATAATACTTACTTTGATAATTCATGCCCAGACATCCAACATGAGCGTGGAACAAAACCATATATAGCTCCTTAAATAGACATTCCCTTGTTTCAAGTCACGGTGTACCACATACCTTGAATGCAAAAATTCAAGTCCCTCGGCGATAGCAATTGCTGTCGTGGGAAAAACCGGTAAAAAATGTTGAAAGGCTTTGCCTGCTTGTATTCTATCGAGGCAATGCAAAAATTCGAGGAGATATGAAACCTAAACATTAAGACTGAATGGCAGGAAATCAAAACACTCGTATTACATCATTCTTGCAACCACTTTAGGACAAACAGCAACCTTCACTAGATGCCGCAAATTTTGTAACGTCTTTGTCTCCTTCACCCTCGCTGAAAAAAAATCGCTTCACAACCGCGGTTCTCTTTGAATGTCAAAAACAAATTTTTCGAGGTCTGCATTTTCGAGACACCCCTCGAGGTTTCTTGAAAATGCAGACCTTGAAAAATTGCAGCTGTTTTAAATGTTCTCCTATAAAAAATCCTTTTTTAACATAACCAAATGTCGAAAACAAACTTTTCAAGGTCTGCGTTTTCGAGGCACAAAAATTTTCCTTTGACCAGATACAGTAACAGAACTTGTATCCACAGTCATTGTAATCACTTGCTGTATTGTAAGTTTGGCCTCTTTCCATTGTTCTTTGCAGTAATGGAGAAATTTACAGAGAACACCAGATTCTGTTTGATCTGTAATTACCTGACAAAGATTATTCCAGCTCTCCAGTCTCGTTGTACAAGGTTTAGATTTGGACCTCTTGATAATGAACAGATGAAGAGTAGATTGGAACATGTCATCAAAACTGAAGGGTAAGGTTCTTAGAGCCCTGAATAACACAATAGATTAATTTTCAGATTTCAAAGTTCAGTGTAAATTAAGACATACTTTGATTCTTAGTAGGTTTATCCTCATAAACTCTATAGCTGATTTCCCAGAACCTAGCTGAGATGTGCATTTTCTGATGTCTGATTTTAATATTAACATAATCAATTATCAGTTGTATATATAAAAAAATGGACTTATAGCTCAATTTAACTAGAGTTTATGGTCCTCTTTCGGTGGGTATTTTTATACATACATACCATGGGGTTTGTTTTCAGAGTGCAAGTTTCTGATGACGGAATGAAAAGCCTGATCAGACTGGCAAACGGTGACATGAGAAAAGCTTTAAACATTCTTCAGGTTGGTGCACAGCTCTTTTGAGTCTTACTAGCATCTCTGGCCCCTTTTCATTCAAGTACTAAGGACTGTTCAATAATGGTAACCTATTTTGTTTGTCTCCTTTCAGAGCACCTCCATGGCTTTTAGCACTGTTGATGAAGTGAATGTTTACACTTGTACAGGACAACCTCTGAGATCAGACATTGCTAACATAGTAGAGTGGATGCTAAATGAGGACTTCAATACTGCCTATAGTAGTATCCTCTGGAATGCAATTCATTTCTTTGTTTTGTGTTCTATAGTAGGTGTTTTATGGAGCAATTGGTTCCCAAATAAAGTCGTTCTTTCTAGGTACTTTTTTGCAAGGTCAAGAAAAGGACTACCAAACAAAGTTTGCTGTAATGGGAAGAGCTAAGGCAAAAGGTTCTCTGTCAAAGGTCAATCACCATAAATGAAATTTAAGATTGTTTGATAGTTTATATGTGATAAGAGCCCATTTTTGTTTGAGTTTTATAAAACCAAAACCTTTAAGAAAGTGTAGAGGTCACTCAATGAAACAAAGAAAATGTTACAAGGATTCAATGGGAACTTAAGTGAAAACAGTTAAGTGAAACATTTGTAAAATTTTACCCTTCTAGTCTGATGAATGAGTCATTAAATCAAAATTTAAATTTACCAAACAATTAATAATCAAACTTTCCTTTATGTGAACTGAATTAATCTATCAAAAATTGGAAATTTTGGCAAAGTGTATAGAAATCATTGTCAAACATTGGTTTTGAGTCTGTTGTAATGCTTTATCTCACTGATACTGATTCACCTCAAGTCCCACTGTGCTTTGTTATTTTTTGAAACATGCAGATATTAAGTGTTTGTCTTTATGTCTTTTAAAACATGAAGCCCTATGATTTTTCTCACATCCTGAAACCCCAAGAAAACTTACATTGCGTACAATCCATAACCATTAAACAGATATAACAGAACTCAAAACTCTGAAAGGACTTGCACTTCAAGACATTCTCACAGAAGTACACCTGTATGTTCATAGAGGTTAGTAGCTTTAGCCCCGGCCGGACCAATACTCATGGTCTTAAAATAAGTGAGGAGAATTTGCTACCTTTCTATAATATCAAGAAATGGATAGATATTCTAGTCTTCTCGGATAAGGACGAATAAACCGTAGGCCCCGTCTCCTGCAGGGTTAGGGGTAGGAGACGTTAATTTCCCACGCACGAGATTACTGTGTGGTGGATGTCCTCCCCTGGGGTGGGATGGGAGGGAAGGTGAGATCGTTACATGGACTGAAGCGGCTGCCAGAGGCGCCTGATAATGCTGACGTCCGATCTCAACTTTATCATTGTAACTAGACACGTTTGTTGTTTAGAGTGCTTAAGACTTTCTTTCTTCTTCTTTCTTTCTTACCTCGAACTTATCTTCATTCATGTATTCGTGCACCACCATCATCACATTCATCTTCCAAGAGACTCATTCATCACTTTCAAACCTTTGTCACATTGTGCTCCTAAGCGCACTTTCTCATTTTATTATATATTCCCTGCTTCTTTTTCATCAAACATTTTCATGACTTAAAGGTTTTACTTTTTCTTTCTCTAGTTAACTTTCCACAGAAAATCCGAATTCACTTGTTGGAAAAAATGGCAGATGTTGAGTAAGTCTGCACAACAGCTATCATAACTACATAGAAACTTGTACATTATTTTCAATTGACAAGGATATAGTGTCCCACTGCTATTTTACCTTTTGTTCCCCTTACTCGAGGCTGTTTGAATGTGATTGCTTGGACTTCTCTTTGGCTCTGTTTGATCTAAACATTATGAAGTTTTGATTAACTGGGTTTAGCACGACAGAAATCAACTATAGCTTGTCACTGATTTGTCCAACAGTGTGTGTTAGTCCTGAGAAGAACTGTTGTCGGTGGTAGTGACTGACGTTTCGACAACCTCTGCGGAAGTCATCATCAGAGTCAAGTGACAACAATCATTCACTTGACTCTGATGATGACTTCCGCACAGGTTGTCGAAACGTCAGTCACTACCACCGACGACAGTCCTTCTCAGGACTACACTCACCCTGACGATCAGACTACACCTTCACATGTTACCCCCGGGTTCAAGCCATTTACTGCAGTGTGTGTTAATTGTTTTCAGATACCGTCTAGCGGCTGGAACCTCAGAGAAGATTCAACTCAGTTCACTGACAGCAGCTTTCCAAGTAGCCAGGGATATGGTTACTCCTGACTCATAGAAAACAGAATTTTTTGCATTCAAGGTTCTCACAAGTCCCAGCAATGCCTTTAGGGTTGATTGGGGAAAGAAACGTATGCGCATAAACATGTAATTATGATAAAAAAAATCTCATTCCCCACTAGTAATACAGTTGTGTAGGAACCCCCTTGACTCAAACTCTCCCTACACCATGTGGGGTTATCAAGATGAAGTAATAAGGACTGTGTGTTACTGTCAATAGGCAAAAAACACTATTAACTCTGTAGAGAAGGTATTATTCAATGTAAAGGATCGGAAAATAGTTGTGCACCTTCACTGTACATGTTTATTTACATGTAAATGCATTTAATTATATGCTCCCTGGTAAAGATAGCATTAAAATTTGTCACATATGGGGTATTACATTCGTGATTTTCTTCAGTCAGCCAAAAGTAGGGAATGCCCTATTTTTTAGCTGGTTGCTGCTCATCTTGACTTGATCACAGTTATGATTCTGTGGAGAAAGAGACAAGTAGTATACACGTGAGGATTAAGTACAGCACTAACAAGAGTTTGCGAAGGTTTATTTGGTAGAAGTTTGTGTGTTATTTCTAATTGGACATAGTTTTACATCTAAAAATATCATTTTATTCATTGCAGTCGGTGAAAGTAGGGCTTTCAGAAGCTGTTAGGCGACATGCCGTCTTGTATTCTCTCTTTTCTCTTTCTTTTGATTCGGCAAGGACTTTTGATAAGGCTCACTATCTCATTAAACATTTTGGCGCCTTCACTAATATAATTTCAGTGCAAAAAGTTATAAAGTCGACGGACGCCTCGTGGGAAAACCAGCTCCTCTATACAATAATTTATTTATACGTAGGGATATACATGTGAAAAAGACTACTAGGATGTTAGAAAAACGAGTCTTACTTCACCCGAATGATTGTCGGGCGATCTTGAACTTTTCTATAGATTCAGGACGAGAATTATAGCAAACGACAGCCATCCAGTAACGAGCGAAGCGCACCATAGGATAGTTAAGCAGGAATTATAGCGCAGAAATGTTAGGGCACACCAGGCTTTGTTAATTTTCCAGTTTCATGTGGTTGTGGAAGTGGTTGGAGAGGTAGATTTTCAGTTGAGGGACCGGTCCAAATTTTAAGGCCGGGAAAGATACGAGCAAGCAAGTTAAAATAGACAAACGCCAATCTCTACGCTCAGCTACCTGTCACATATTTTATAAAACTATAACTCCCTTTGTCTACACGTGGAGTCTAGGTGAAGCTAAGCTTCATGCCCCACGCGGGACGAAGTTTCTCTTGCTGGAAACGAATTATTTTCAAAAGGATGGCTCATTGATGCTTTCTTATTGAGAAAGACGGAACCTTGGAGCCCGCAGGAAGATTGTCAATAACGTGGCAATGAAGGAGAAGATTGAAATGATCAAAAACAGCCTGTCCAGCACACGTGCGGCCTTAATCCACTCCTTTTGGTTTTTAAGCTTCTCTTCGGTCCAGTCAAGAACGTTGCCTGAAAGGTACTGCGAGTCGACCTGACGCTGTCTGCCACTTGTCCCTGATGAAGAATGTTTCTTTCCCGCCCGGCTGGGATGTTTGCCCCGAGAACGAAAACTGTTTTTCCTTTTAAGATTCTTAAAGCACTCTTTTGAGAACACGACAGTTTTGCTGCGAGTATTATGTGGCGATGCTGCGAGGTTACAAAACGAGTGATCCCCGTTCGTAGTGCCGTCAGGAGAAAGCGTGCATGTGGTGCCAGACTCCTGTACGACCCACGTGGTCAAATTCGGATCGGGTCTCGTGCTCTTTTCTTGTACGTATTCATCCTCCTCGCAGAGCTCTGAGTCACTGCAGCTTATCCCTCTCTCAGCATCCAGAACATTGCGGTTGGCGAGTCTTCGTCGAAGTACGCTTTTACGATGAATTTCGTTCCAATTCTTTGGTTTTTGACATGGAAATAACACGCGTGCTAGACATTGAAGAATCACTTTTCTCATAGTCTTTGGCATTCGTCGCCTATTCCGATGGTAAAAATTCAAAATAAGCGTAGTAACAGCCAGAGAGAGACCGATTTCCAGCATAATTGCGAAATAAAACTGTCCCAGGAGTGGAAAACCATACGAAGGCATGAACTCGGAGCTAAGTTGCTGAAACACGGTCATTGCCAACAGAACTGTGATACTCAGTCCGATTCGTTCACCAGACTCAGGCGGAAGAACAAAACCCAGAAATATCATGGAAGAAATCATCGAGCATGGAATGATCAACTTTAGGATGTAATCCAATGATTCTCGTCGGATTTTTGCACTCACTGTTATGTCCACAAACTCGTGCGGGCAGCATTGATATTTGAGGGCATTTCTCTTTGCGGACAAGTTTAGCATTTTCCACTCGCCATTTTTGATGTAGTATGTGTTTAGTGTGCTGCCGTTTTTTACGGCCAAATCTATCTTGGACTTGTCGAAGGCCCAAGAGCCAAATTTCAGTTGACATTCTTGATCGTCGAAAGGAAAGTTTGTGACATCCACGCTACAGATGCTCTTGAACATGGCCGGGTTTAACCACGTGTTTTTGCCATCGTAATGCAGTTCTATGTTGGTGGTATATGTCGTTCTGCCCCCTCCCATTCGCTCCTCATCGTCTATACTGCAACACAAGCAAAGGCAAACATAAAAACTAGATTTAAGTTATTAAACTTAACCCCGGCTATAAACCATAAGAGCGACTAGCATCTAATTTCTCCTTAGAATATTATTCCTGAATCACACATTAAGGTCAAGAGTCACTCATGACCTTAAAAAAAGATCACAAATTAAAGAAGCTCTGGATGGTTCTATAAATTCTCCTTGTCAACACCTTAGGAAATGTATGAAGTACAGTACTGAGAATAAGCATACTGCGATACCGGTACAGCGCAGACTTACTTGTTGTACAATAGTGTGTCGGGCACCCAAATGTCGCTTGGAGACACATGAATTTCCTTCACTCCTCCATAATCCTTTGGATCCCATTTTAGCAAGTGGTTCTCCCAATACTGCAAAAAAAGCCAAGAACTGATTAAGGGCCTTAGCATTGTTATGACTCGACAGAGCTTACAAATGTCCATTTGTATTGGCTATAACATCAGTCGTAGCTATAGTTGCTGACAACAGCAGGGATGCACTTATCATACAACAAGTCATTGATAAAAACTACAATGAAGGTTTGAAGGTCGCAAGTTTTGTTAGTGATACTTTGTTTGCAAGTCGGTTAAAAAATTTGATTAAACATTATTGAAGGTGATAAAAGTGTAAAACCAATGGAGTAAATAGCTCGACCTGTTGGGAAAACTTAGCATAATCAAAACGCATTGCGCACGTCACTTTTCTTTCAGAACCACTAAAATACGTGAAAAGTTTATAGTGTTCATTACCTGGTTCACCCAAGCATACGTGGTGATATACTGACTTCTTGCACTCTGCAGGGAACAAATTATTTCATTAGCGTGTTTAATCAAGAGACGAATCAAGAGTGACGCATTTGTTTTGATTCAAAATGAGGACATAAGCACGAAAAATGAGAGACTACAAAAACTCGATGGGAATCCAAGACAACTCTGAAAATTTGTAAAGGGTCTTTCTACAAGCCACATGACCTTCTACACTACAGTTTGTTTAGATTTCTTGGCATAAGCGACGTATTTATATGATCAAATGAGATACCAGAGTATCACAGGTCCATGCCCACTTCCAACTCCCCAGATTTCCATGAAAATTTTCTGATTGCAGTTGAAAATCAGGGTGGAGTCATCACTGAATTTAGAAAGGAAAACTCGAACCCTGACTATTCTATTCGAATCCGAAAAATTATCGTTAGACTCACCCATCCTCCCTCAGAATTAAAAAAAAAAAAAAAAGAAACTCACCACATCAAGGATCCGAATGAGTTGGAAATCAAAGGTGACCACCACTGGACCTGTCCCGGGTGGTCTAGGGTGTGCGTGCTTGTTGTATCCTTTGAATAAGTCCGTGTGAAGGCGGGTTTCGTTTACTTCCAGTGCTCCGCTCACAAACAAAACTAAAATAAAATAAAGTTTGAACGAGTCTTCTTCCCAATTTTCCACCAGTGACAGACTTGGAAAGTTCGTCAAAAGGATGCACGGTATACTTCAGTAATATTTCATGTGTTTCCATCAATCAAACCACAGTTATTAAGAGTAGCGATTGAGACTATAGCATATAGAATTTATGTAGTCTTGAGAGAAAATTCCACTCTTCCAAATAAGTTACATTAGATAAACTGTATGGCAAAACGCATTTTAGAGGGCTGTTGGAAATCGTTTTTGCCCTTTAAATTTTGGCTTAGACTTACGAGCTAGATGCCCTCTATGTCGAAGTTTACAAAGCTCTGAAATAGATGTATTCTTGAGGACAATTGAAGGCGGTAACATAGAATACAATATCAGAACCTAAGAAATAAAAAATATTCCTACCTGTGGAGCGTAAAAGAGCGATAAAGAAGACAATATCATTCGACCTCATTATAATTTCTCCTCGGCGACGTTTGTGTGCCCGAGGTGGTGGTCTGCGTACTGCAAAGAAAAAAAACCAAACAGTTTAATCACTCTTTTCCAAAATTACAAGGGAGAACAATTGTTCAAAACCAGCTGTGTCTGTGAGAAATTCAGATGAAATTGGTCATCATAAAGATAAGTTTGAGTTAGATCAACTGAAATACAAACAAAAAATTAAAATTAGCAGGGTTATTTGAAAGGAGGTCTGCTAGGAAGATTTATTTATAATGATTCAGTGGACGCAGGAGACAACGGACGGCGAGCAAGAGATCAGATCAGTTCTCTTGCAACGACATATTTCCCCAACAAAAACTTCAACTTTTACAAGAGGGACAGTTTTTAAAAGTTGAAAAAAGATGTCAAAAAGTTTCTCCAAGTAAGTGTGCTGAAGACTGAGAGAAAGCTTGTGTGTTTTTTTGTTTGTTTGTTTTTTAGCTGTAGCGACCAGAAAATTAATGTTTTTATCCTCAGGTTTGTTTTTTCTGTCTACACTCCCATTTTCTTATAGCAATCTATAAACCATAGCTGTCAGTAAAGGCCTTTTCAAGATCAATCCTCGTTATCTTTCTATATGAGGAAATTTTTGACGTCAGCATTTAGAGCTGTAGCATTTCTATGTAGTCTCGACATCGATATGTTCCTTTGAGTCATTTTCAACTTAATATTTGCGAAGCTAGATCCTTAAAATATTTTGAATTACCCTCTCTGTCGAGAAGTTCCATTGCTGGACGACAACTGAGGACTCGTGAACCGTCGATCTTTTCGTGAACGAATATCTCTATTCGCGAACGAATATCTCCTCAGTTGACTGGCAGTGAACTTTGAACAATCCCTTTTATTCTACATAAAAAGACACACTTTAATGTAACTGCTGACACGCGAACTTTTTATGTGTCTGAAAGGGCAGATTTTTGACGTTTTGTTAAAAAAGAAAAACATTTCTGCCATAGAGCGACGACATTTAGGCCGTTAAGCTATTCAATAAGAGTACAAGGGTATCTACAATGACAAAAACCAGATGGGAAGATTGTCCTTCAGGCGATAAAGTGTTATGTTTTAGATGAGTTTGACATGATGGTCGAGTGTCGCGGATGGTGCCTTTCAAGTCGCGGATCGCGATTTTCAAGTCGCGCCTTTCATGTGGCGGGTTCTAAAAAAATCGTTATTTTTTTTTCTAATTGAAAATTTATTTGCAGACTTCCCAGACAATAATATAGTCACGATATTTGAGAATAAAAACTGTTTATGTTCTATTGCCCGATAGTATTGTGATGTCGACATGAACTAGTATAAAGCGACCACTTTGAAAACATTCCCTGATATGTTTCTCATGTAGAAGTCCTCACTGTTCATGCGCAACAAAAAATTTAGCATGCATCCAAAGATCGTTGATTTTGTATGAAAAATTGAAGGTCACACTCTTAAACATTTTTGTGTCAAACCAAAATATATGGCTAAGCCCTCACAAACATGGAATAAAGAATAAGGTATTCCCAGAGGGTTAGGACAGGCATGCGCGAAATTCGATGGGCAATTTTCTCTCTTCCTCTCTCTTTCTCTTCCCCCTTTTTTTCGGAGGGGGGACTGTTGCAATGAAAATGAAAGAAAGAATAAAAAAGAGGCAAAAATTAAGAAAACGTGTTTCATAAGGGTCACTTCCGAAACATCGTTGGGTGACAGGGGTTGAAAAAGCTATTTGCGAAACGAAACATCATGGCAATTCTTAGAGACTATACCTAATGGAACCTGGTGTTTTCAACATGAGCACAGTTGTTGAAATGTTAGTACTTGGGTTTTCAATAAAAAATTATAGTTTCTGACGTTTCTTGGTTGCACCTGCAGGTGTTGCAAAGAACACTGTAGCAAGCTATATAACTTGATTGTCAGTTTGTGCAATGTTTCTCTGCTTGTAGATAATTGGTTAAACCTTCATAAATATTTCAGTAGCCTTCAAACACCTCCTTACTAGCAAAGCGTTTGAAGAGTGAGGGGTCTCCTAAACTTGTAAGGTGTTCTTAATTTTCTAAAAAAAAATGTTGGGCTTTAATTTTATAGTTATCTTTCCATGGTTGGTACCCTGGAGGGTGAATGGAAACCAGCAATACTGTATCAGTTTCATACCGTACCAGTTCCATACCGTGCCAGTTCCATACCGTGCCAGCTGTTGGTTTTTAAGACAACTAACTCATTACGAACTGGTTTTTCATAAGTGTTTCCCCATTGTGAGAAAACAATTGAAAGATAACACTCATCCTCTGCCTCAATCACAAGGTTTATAAAACTGTTTATAGCTGACAAAAAAAAAAAGTAAATTTTGTCTTGAGAAGACACTAGATAATTTAGTATATACTTAGGTACGTTGACGAGGCAAAGGTTACTTTGATATCTTTCTATATCAATCTTTCTATATTTATACCATATTTTGGAACAAAAATAAGCAAAAACTTAAGGGGTGAAAATGATTTTCAACCATTCGCCTTGAACATTGTAATGTAAATATGAACATATACCGTGATAACAACACTATGAATTAGGCAGAATTTTTGAAAAAATTCCCATATCATTTCTTTGTAATTAGGTGTCATTGTTTATATGTCGTCCACCTTTCAAAATATATTGCCAAATAGAACCTATGTTTTGAAAAAATGTATTTGTAAATACCACTAACTCAAAAATATTTGGGTTATAAAGTAAATTTCATAAAGACGCCAGTTCTCCTGTCATGTTAAATATTTCCCTAGGCAATGTAAAACCAGTTCCAAAGAAACACCTTTAGGGAATTCAATATGCAAAATTTAAAAATTCTATGTATCAAAAACAGACATAGCTGACCAAAATAGAGCGCAATTTAACGTAAACTCTTTAACTTGCTTAACAAGACCATTTCCACAGTTATCTGAACCATACCGACACTCAGTAAGTTGGAAAGACTTGATGGAGACAATAACACAATTTAAAAACACTTTTCTCTTCTGTCGTGCATCAAAGACGTTTGAATTTAGTTTTAATGGCTCGTAGATAAATTTATCGAAAGAAGAATTGAAACTGAATCTGGCCGCCAGCTTTGTTATAGAACTGACTTTTAGTAGCACAGCCAACGTGAGAAGTTAGAAAGTTATACCGGACGCTTAACATATACAGCGCTGCAAATTGTGCACTAAAGATTCATCCCCGGCGCATTTTAAAATCTATTCAATGTAACTGAAAGCGTTTTTTTGTGATGATGAATAAACATCACGAACAGAATCAGAAAACTACAGCGATATTTGTCAAGTTAAACAATCACTCCAGAAACGCCCAAACATGAAAAACTTAACGTGTAACTAAACAAGATTTTACCTTACCTTGCAATTGATTATTGGCCAACAAGCAACCTCTGAGGTGAAAATGAGAAAAAGTGTAGGCTTTATGATCCTCAATTATCAAGGCCTTTCTAACGCATCGTTTTTCTTTTTCGTTATAAATTTTTTCTCTGCTAGGTGGTGAATGTTTCTCCTCAAACTGATAGTTTTTCAGTTAAAAGAAGAAACTCCAAAACTTGAAACAATTTCCAATGCAAGCCATTCACCTGCTCATCACGGGGAATTGACTCGAATGTTGACAATGCAATTGATAAAAAATGAACCAAGTAGGCTAACCAACGATTAAAATGATCAATATTTTATGAACACGAAGTGCGGAGTAACTGATTGGATGAGCGATGTTCTAGCTCGCGGCTCTTAACATATCGCATTGAGTAGAAAACATAACAAAGAAATTCCACTCATTGGGTGGCAGATAACGTCACGTCGTTCAAAATTTAAGGTTCAACTTGAAAATTCATATTTGCCTTCTCATCGAGAATGAAGTTCAGGTGGTCTTCATCACTTGAAATGTTTTTCTATGACAGAAACAGCCTCATATTTATCGAGTTTTAATCTGGTCAACCTCTATTTGAATTTAGAGAAAACTTCCTTAGTCAAAACAAATACACCTAATGAAAACACATTGAAAAAAACCAAACCCACATTCTGTAACCAAGTAGTTTGCCTTTGTTTTCATCATTATCAAGATCAAAATATATAAGAACTCTTGAGTTTTGAGCTTGTTTGAAACTCTACATGTTGCCTTGTTATTGTTAAGGAAATTCTTACTTGTTTTAACTCAAAAATATCCGATTTCTTTTAACTTTTCCTCACGTATTTGCGGTCCTTCGCCAGTGTCAAGCTTGCCATTAAAACCCACACTCAAAAAGATATCTCTCAAGCATTACGATATAGAAAGTGATTTTTTTATCTAACCACTAAAAGGGCTCGGGGATTAACGAGGTTTACCTTGGAGATTGATGTTTGAATCATGAAAGGCGAAAGTTCTTCACGGAGCGTGACGGCACCAAAGTAGAAAAAACAAATTCACACAAACCCTGCACAATTGAAAATCTGTCTCAGTATTCCAGACAATTTATGATATTAACGTGATTTGTGGAGTGTGGCAGAGCAAGTTATCAATGTTGAAAGTGATCCGGGATTATATTGGTTTTGCAGTATCTCGCTCTGTGATTGGTCTGGAAAACGTCGTTCTCTCAGCCTATCAGATGCAAGATTAAAATCAAACGGAGTAACGTTTTTTTCAGGCTCAGCTGCAGGCTGTTTTAGATGGTTTACCTGAAATTCTTATTCAGTTTTCTCGTAATGTTTTCTTTGTTTCTATTTAGTTACTATGACTGCTTTGGGTTTTTTTTTCACTCAAAATGCAATCTTCACTTCAATAATAATCCGAGCGGATATGACTGTAAATAATATAAAAAACGGCGAGATTATCCTTGTTTCATCACACGACCCGTTCTTCCCCGCTCACTCAAACTTATAGAAAGCCATTGAAAACTGACTTATGTAGGGCTGGATGGGTTTGACGTGAACCGGTCCGAAAAAGCTGTTCAGCCCCGCACTCAAACAGCTCTGTTTCATTTTCCAAGAACATGGATTCTAATGGCAGACTTGACCTAAAAAAAGAAAAGAAAATGAGAAAACAATGCACTGCCCTCGGTCCGTACGTCGTGACCTCGTACCTTGAGCTATAATATATTCCTGTCTGGCCCTCTCACTTATTCAATAAGTACGTACATATATTACGTCGTCATAAGAGGGCTGCGAAAACGGAAGTTTGTTAATGACGCATGCATTTTCAGAATCCAAGTCTGTGACGCTTGCCCATTTTTTTCCAAAAAAATTTAGGTTGCTACGCGCGCTCCGATCGGTCTAAACCTGTCTTTTGTCTTAGCGGTAGACATTGCTGTTAGTTTTGTTTTAATATAGAGTATGTTCTTTATCGGTCTACCGGCTCGATCTAGGGTTTTGGAGAAACACTCGACAAAGGTTCGAACGTCACTCGTGTTAGCACGTGACCTACCAACATTCCTCGTCTTTACCCCAACATCGCGCGTGGGTTCTGTTGTGAAGCGGAAATCTTTGTATTTTGTTGACTCATGCAGTTCTGCTAATTTTTTCGGAAATCATTATTCTGAATTGCCTGAGGAATCTTTATTGATTGAGCACGTACTTGCTACAAATACGATTTTAGGTGAGTATATCTAGCGATAACATACGTGGCAATTGGGATCTTGTGATAACCCCCCAGCTCTTCGAGCCAAAGTCACGATACTCAGACTAGTAACGTGATTCGTCTTGTCTTGGGCAGGGTGCACGTGAAAAGGTTTCTAGGTAGAGCTGTTATAACTGGGAATGTAACTCTGTGGATCACATCATCTGTATATGTCTTGAGTCCAGTTTAAAGGCGAGGTTAACGTCATCGAACAAGTTGTGCTTCGAAGAAACGTCTAAGTAAGGAAAGTGGAAGGGCAAGGAATTCCTTCCGTCAACCACACCTTCTTGTGATCGCCTTTTTTGTTTATCGTGCTACTACCTTAGTCTCAGTGAAAGAAAAATTCTCTAAAAGTGTGATTTTATCAATTTTTCTCCTTCCAGTCTTGTAATCAACAAAATTGGTACAAAGGAGAATAAAAGAGTGGTAAACTATTGATTGTCAGTTTGCGCATCGCTAAATTTCTAACGCCGGCAAACTCATATTGTCGTCCACTGCTTGAATAACCGAGCAGAAGACTAAAACTGCAGCAAACTGCTTTTTGAAAGCAATTTATTTATTTATTATTATGGAAATCGTCATTTCAATTCGAAAAATTTCTCAAATGAAACCCAGATACTCGATCGATGGCAAATAACAACCTCTCTTGAATAATTTTTACTTTTACTTGTAAACATTTTGAAACGCCAGGCTAAGAAGCTGGAAGAAAAAGGTCCGTTTCTAATATAAATGTCAATAATGTTGATCGCCATTGGTGCTGTGAAGTTAAAAATGACCAGCGGTGGAGAAACAGGTGTCCAGTTTCTAATTCTTATAGATGCTCCTCGTTCTTTTTGTTATCTGCAACGCAATCGTAACACACGTAGGCTACAAAATCCTCATCGGTGATGATTTGGTTTTTGCATTCTCCTAAGGCCTCAGCGAGATGAACAGCCAACAGGTGCTTGCACTGTTACAATAGTCAAATATGGACAAGTTATAAGTCATTCAACATTTAAGGGGGCTATACCATAGTTCGCTTATCTTAAAAAAAGATTGGCGGCTTTCATTTCTCATGATGGAACTACTAGCAGGCTGTCGATATAGAGCGAGACCGAAAGGGAGGATGAAGTGTGCAACACCGCTCACATGTACGTGTGCGTGTTACACGTATTTCACACGTTTAAAACACACACTGCTTGAAACTTAACGTGGATACGTGTGATACAAATGCACCAAAGTGAGTGGGTAAAAATACGTGTAAATTACACGTAAACAATGTGAAGTGTGCAGTACCGCTCACGTGTACACGTGCGTGTTACGCGTATTTCACACGTTTAAAACACACACTGCTTGAAACTTAAGGCGGATGGGTGTAATAAAAATGCACCCACGTGAGTGTGTAAAAATACGTGTAAATTACACGTAGACCATGTGAAGTGCGCAGTGCCGCTCACGTGTACATGTGCGTGTTACACGTTTTTCACACGTTTCAAACACACATTGCTTGATTAAGGTGGATGCGTGTAATAAAAATGCCCCAATGAGAGTGTGCAAAAATACGTGTAAATTACACGCAGACAATCAACTGGAACTCATCACATGCACGTACTGGGGCAAGAGTGTATGTAAGAGGACAACAAGATTGTATTCTGAATTCAGTGTAGGTTTTCCAACGGACGTCACAGCGAGTCAATGAACTTTGTAGGGTTCCTTACAGATTCAAGTTTAGAATGCGAACAGTGAGATTAAAAAAAAACGTTTATAAAGACAAAGAGGTCTACCGGCACCGTTGAAAACCTCAGTAATCTTACAGACCAGTTCAAAGAAAGGTTTGTATCGCAAGGAGTCATTAAAAACGAAAACAAAGACACTGCCTAAAGTGCGGGAAAAAGTAAATGGCCAGGGTGTAATGGTCACGAGAGAGAGCTGCGAGTTTTCAGACCAATCGGAGAGTAGTGAGGGAAAACCGATGCAAACCTTGCACACCTCAAATTACTTTAAACACTTTACAATTCTCATTTCCTTTCNCTTAAACTCCCTATTTAGATTCGGTGTTGGAACAACTTAAGGTGGCTCGTACCAGTTTCCTCGCGCGGGGAACAGGTCACTCTTGCGTGACGCGCGCGAGAGAAACGTGCGAAAGAAGCGCGAGATCAAAAGATGAAAATTCAAAACAAAGATGGCGGCGCGTGGAATTTTTTCTACTTTTGTGAGAAGTTTACCTAAGAGCTTGTATTTGATGTGTTGAGCGGCCACTGTGAATGCAGGAGATAGAAACTAAGATAACGAAGACGATTTTCGGAGAAGTAAAGGTTGCTTCACTTCACATTTAAAAGAAATATTCAACCGATATGAAATCTTGCGACGGCGAAAAAAGAAGAACTCAAGTGAAGGATAATCTACCTGAAGTGGAAGAAGACTTTGAAACTTCAAGGAAAATAATATGATATAGCCAGAAGTCATGTGTAGGATTTTTAAGATGAGCTCGGGAGGCTGTCTTTGACGGCTGTTTAATGATTTTCTTAGCAGTAAACGTCTGTAAACATCAGATCGTAGGTGCTCGCGCGAGCACACGCAATTGTCAGCGGTAGCTAAAACAGATCATGAGCAAATGTCGATCTTATAGAATCCAGATTTTTAAATGCGCGAGAACGCGCGTGGAAATTGCTAAACTCACGAAAGCTATTGCATGAAAACAAGTCCGGTGACCCCTTCTTTTTATTGTTCCAATATGATAATAACGTCGAAAGGAATCATCAGAAAAAAAACTAGAAAATTCTACGGAAGGAAATTTGTGTGTGAAAATTGCCCTTTTTGTAGATTTTCTGAAATTCCGCTCCGTAGAATTTTTTAAAAATCTTTGTGCATTTTCCTTTTCAAGTGCCAAAAGCAATCACTGAAAAAAATCAGGGGGTCAACGGATTAGTTTTCGAATTATTTTAGCCACAAGCTAAAAAATGCGTCTGAATAAGCCTACGAAAGCGTTACCATGGAAACTGTTAGTGACGAAATGATACTTATTTTTGGATAACCAATGATTATGTAATTCAACCCTGTAAAAGTGTTGAACTGGCCTTGGTCAGTCTTTCTGTTGTATTCTTTCAAAGTTACAATCCATCAAAAAGATGAAAACCGGTACGAGCCACCTTAAGGCGGATGGGTGTAATAAAAATGTACCCACGTGAGTGTGTAAAAATACGTGTACATTACACGTAGACCATGTGAAGTGTGCAGTGCCGCTCACGTGTTCATGTGCGTGTTACACGTTTTTCACACGTTTCAAACACACATTGCTTGATTAAGGCGGATGCGTGTAATAAAAATGCACCAATGTGAGTGTGCAAAAATACGTGTAAATTACACGCAGACAGTCAACTGGAACTCATCACATGCACGTACTGGGGCAAGAGTGTATGCAAGAGGACAACAAGATTGTATTCTGAATTTAGCGTAGGTTTTCCAACGGACGTCACAGCGAGTCAATGAACTTTGTAGTGTTCCTTACAGATTCAAGTTTAGAATGCGAACAGTGAGATTAAAAAAAAAACGTTTATAAAGACAAAGAGGTCTACCGGCACCGTTGAAAACCTCAGTAATCTTACAGACCAGTTCAAAGAAAGGTTTGTATCGCAAGGAGTCATTAAAAACGAAAACAAACAAAGACACTGCCTAAAGTGCGGGAAAAAGTAAATGGCCAGGGTGTAATGGTCACGAGAGAGAGCTGCGAGTTTTCAGACCAATCGGAGAGTAGTGAGGGAAAACCGATGCAAACCTTGCACACCTCAAATTACTTTAAACTCTTTACAATTCTCATTTCCTTTCCTTGCTTACCATAAGAGATTCCATCTTGACCAACACTAAGAAGATAGAGAAGTACATATTATTAGAGATAAAAAGCGTTAATTAGAACAAAAACATAAATTTGGTAACATGCCAGGTAGCTGAGGGATCCTAAAAACCATCCCTAGTAATCATTATCAAGGTTTTGGCTTCAGTTGCGAGGAAAAACCTACTACTTCTTCACATTTTGCTCACTTTTATCATATGATGAATTGCAGTATGTCACTCAGGTGGGCAATTAGACCACAGCCATTCTGTGGTCTGCAATCATACAGTTGGTTAGTCTGACATTTTCATTCAGTTAATCTTCTGCAGGGTTCAGTTGTTTAAAGGGCAGATGACATTATCCAACAGATAAATCGCTTTCTAGTGGATAAGTATTTAAAAACCGACCACTGGAGTATCCACTGGATAGAGATTTATCCACTCATCCAATATCCTGGGCTAGAGGAATAGTGGGTAAGTCAGGTTGTCAATCAGTTTGTCAGCTTGTAGAGAGTAAGTCAGTCAGTCTCAGTTTCAACCAGTTCTTAAGTAAGTCAGTCAGTTTGTTGGCAAGCTGTCACTAATTCAATCAATTCAACAGTTAATCAATCCATATTTAATTTGCCGATCAGTTTGCCAGTCGATCACTCAGTGTATTCATCTCGTATGTATGTAAGTAGAATTTGACAATTCGGTGATCACATCCTTTATTTTCATGACCTTAAAGTGTGAATCAGGGATGATAATGTGAGGAGAAATTAATCATTCTAAGGTTTATGAGTGTTAAGAGAATTGACTGTTGTAAACTTGCAAACAAATCTACAAGAAAAATTTGCGACAATTTGTGCCAGAAGTAGCCTCTGTCTATACATTTGTGGATGGTCAATTCATGGTCAGCTGATGATTGACCAAAAGTTGACCAATAGTCTGCTGATGTTCAAACCACATTTAACAGTAAGTTGGCCAATAGCTGATAGTCATTCACAAATGATATCTGCACTGAAAAATTAGCTGACAAACAGCCAATCATCACTTAATTATTGATCAACTGTTGGTTGATAATTAATTTTGTTACCTCGAGCACAACTATGACAAAAGATATCAATCTACTTCAGATCAATACATCAACCAAGGCTTCCAATAGAATTTTTTTTTTTATTGCATGCCGTAAATCCAAAACCAAAGTAGTTACAAGGGCCAATCAGTAGAAAGTAAAATATCTATAAGAGCCCATGAGATCTCAAAGTAAAAACAACCAAACTGATTGGATTGCAAGAAAATGCAAGGGACCAGTTGATTGGACCAGGTGAAAGTGTTTTGGACCAAATTCCCACGGTGAAGTTTCTCTCGTACACACAATCTGGAAGGCTAACCTTCACTTACTGACCTGATATAGAACCCTTCCACTGGGAGTTGGTAACTTTGTAATATTCTTCCTGTCTATTAAGTCTAAAGCATCTAACAGTGGCTGGTGGAATACAAAGTGTAACCTGGTGAAAGCAAAACAGACATAATGTCAGACCTAGGAAACCTAATTATCAAACACAAATACATATCTCTTTGCCATGGTTTATTGTTAGAGATAAGAACTTTAAAAAAATCATGCTTTTCGTTCACACATTTACTGATCTCAGATACACTCAGCATTCAGCCCATATTATGCGCCTTTTTAGGGTTCCTGTCAAATTCCCAACAGTCCCTCGAGTCACCTTTTATAGTTAGTCATTGGGAGCTATTCTTTTTTACTTCCTGAAGGAAAATCAAGCTTGAGGAGAGTTACAATAATCTATTTATCACAAAATTGACATAATTCCTTATCAAACACGATCACCATAATTATCATAAATCGATACTCACGCGGAAAGTACTTCATCTGTTACTGAAAGGACAAACATAAGAACGGGAGAAATGAGAAGTCATTTAGTGGAACTGAAAAATATTTTAATGACTAAAAATCAAACATAAAAAGGTTACGCGCTTTTGATAAGGCAAACTTTTTACTTCTGTAACAAACTTCCAACAAAAAGGATAAAAAAAAAAACACTCACGATGACCATGCTTCTCTTTTGCTAGGCGAGCTTCCGAAAATAGCTGATCTACAACATGCCGAAGTGATAAAGCCATTCAAATGAAATAATCGAATGCACTTCCTTACGAGGTAAAGGAAGTACTATAACTCGCGCCTACCTATCCGCCATGTTTATCTCACAACTATACCCAGTCCTGCAAGACGATACTCTCGGCTCCAAACCCCGCTAAATAACAGTGGGCTCCATTTAACAAAGTTCGAGCACAGGGAGTCCACGCAAGCGGCGTGTCTGGTCGTTTGTTTGAAATAATATAGAAATGTATGGGAGAATGTTGAAGAGTCGTAATATCGTAAACATATATCAAGGAATGTCTATGTTAAGGCTCAAAATAAATGTAAACCTACCTCATTTGCTGTGCATTGTTGTTTCTGTGGTTCAAAATGGCGAATTTGAGCGATTTGGTGGGTTTTGCGGTGACTGTCACTTTACGTTATAATTAGCTACGGAGAACTAGTCGAGCTAAGCGCTATATAAATGCTTTTTTATTTATTTAAGTGAGGTAGGTTTACATTTACTCTGAGCCTTAACATAGACATTCCTTGATATAAGTTTACGATATTACGACTCTTCAACATTCCCCTATACATGTACATTTCTTTATATTTCGAACAAACGACCAGACACGCCGCTTGTGTGGGTACCCTGTGGTTCGAGGGGTTGTTTGTTGGTCAAGCGACTTGAGAATCTGGGCTTGACTGGGTTGCTCAAAGCTGGAAAAAGGTAACCCAGGGTTTAAGGTAAAATCTGATTTTTGATCTGAAAACTTTAAAAGAAAATTCAGTGCGAATGTTTTTGGCTACTATTTGATACTTGGATGTTCCAAAAAGAATAAAGAAAATTATTATCCCAAAAAGGCTTTTGTGAAAGGATTAAAGAAACCAGGATTAAAATTTGACCTTGGTTTAGCCCTAATTGGCCCTAGGAAAGAACCTGTATTTTCAGTTGCACCCTATAGAATACTAGTGCAGCAGTGAATCTATGGGGAAGGGTCTGGGGGAGTCAGCATCCAACATCAGACCTGTGGGTATTATTACCCCTTGTCTGAAACCAACGTTTTCCCAGCAACAGGTCCCATAAATATAATACTCAACTTGAAGTTTATAACATTTACTCGTCTTGGAAAATTTCTTGGCTTATTTGATTTTATTGATGAATGACCTTAAATTGAGAACTGTGGAGACTTTGCTAATCTTTCATCAAACTGACAGAGTGGTGCAAAAGGCGAGCTGATCAGCAACATCAAACACATTAACATAGACAAGGAACTAGAAATTCTTGAACAAAGAATAAATAAATCTTACATGCTTGAGATCATTCTAACTTGAAATCCATTTTAACTAATAATGTATAGATCATTTACACAAAATGGACCATTTGCCATTTGAATGAAGTCATGACATTGATCTATTCATTAATGCATTTCAGTTGACAAATGAAGATTGTATCCAGGAAATTATGAATAAATCATTGTTCTTTAAATGACTGGATCAAAATGAAAAATACATTTTACCTATAAATTCCTGGAGGAGAGCCATCAACCCAGTGCCCACTTTGCCCTGGGCAACTATCATCTCAGATGAGTTGAACATTGAATAGAAAACCTACATATAACTGAACATTCCCAGGTGCCATTGAACCACCAGACAGTGGTCTTTCACCTATCATGGTGCTTGGCTCTGGAATAACCTCAGAGATGATGTTAAATCTTCAGATTCCGTCAAAGGTTTTAGAAAAAGAATTCATTTGTTAACCTATTTTTTTCTGATTAATCTATGAATTTGTTCATAGTCAATCCAATCCATTGTAATTTTTTTGTCTTTCTTACTGTATTTCACTACTTTTCTAATGCATATTTATTACCTTTGTTATTTAGTTATTTATTTAGTTATTTTAGTGTGATATTTATGTAGCCTTGTAACTGAAAAACCCTTGTAAAGAGTTACAATAAAGTGTGCATGTATGTATGTATTGAAGTTATTCCAACTTATACTTAACAACATTCAAGGTTCCCCTATTAAAACTATTTTATTTGAAAGTTAGCCACATTTTAGGATTTGAAATCTGAATCTTGTCAACCAACTCCTGAGAAATTCCCCTCATCAGCATTTTTGGAACTGCATTCCTCTGTATGTGCGCATACCCATGGCCACCATACTTTACGAGTCGATGGCGAGTATGCACATCATGTGCAATGACAATCTTATCTTCATAGCCTTCTGAGGCCAAAAATTTGATATTCTGGATTCTCTGTGCATCACTAATGCCATCCACAGCATAGTTTGGCTGATAATAAGACAGTTCAATACCAAAAAAGTCATACTCCAGATAAATCCCAGTGGCTGCCAACTCCAGAAGTTTTTCTCTATCAAAAATAGTGCGATCAAGATGACTCATGACAGTTTTATTGATGTCTGCTCCAGCTTCTTGGAGAATTCTGACTATCTCCACGGGTGATGACTCGTTACGGCCAGGGTGGATGATCAAAGGAGCACCAGTTGAAGTCTGTGCTGCAGCAGCTGCTAAGAGAGACCTCTTCTCTGAGGGCTCCAATGGCCAAGAGCACCCAATTTCACCAATGACACCACACTTTATTGATGTATCACCAACACCTTTAGTAATTTCTCTGACCATGGTCTAGTAAGAAAAGTGAAAAATAATTGTTTTTTAAATGGCTCTATAAGTGACATCTGACTAAACTTTGGGGCTATAAGGAAAATGATGTAGCTAATAAAAGGTAAATTAACCTTTGAAAGCTCTTCAACTGTTGAAGATTTCACTTCTGCCGGAAGAGTGGAGTCCAAATAGTAGCCTGTTCCAGCGATGATATTTAGGCCAGTCACTGATGCTGCTTTGGCAAGGTATTCCACATCCCGTACAATACCAACTGTAGTTACTTCAACAATACTCTGACCACCTTCCTGTTTAAAATAGTCAAGTTCTGCCACAATATCATCAAATGGCTCATCTCCAAGGGCCAAGTTGAGTTTATGGCTATAGGGATTCTGCTGTATCCACCCAAGGTTAGCCATAGTAAACTCCGAATTTGCCAATTTGGCTGCATCAGACTCCCTCCAGGGTGGTCTCAGGCAGCATTTGTAATCCATCTTGATGTGCTCATGGGTGAGGGTGCGGCCCAGGGCACTGGGTGGGATGGGACCCAGGACAGTTTGCATCTGGCCTGATGTCATTGCTTAATCTGCACAAAATTTACTGAAATCACAAATTAATAGGGCAGGCTTATCTTGAGGGTTAACTTTGATGAAGGGAAACCATAAAGCTAACTTAAACCTTCACTTCTATGAGTGACCAAGACAGAATTTCTCATTATGATATCAAAACAATATCAAGCAGACAAGAGA